TCGATTTTAATCAATAATCAAAACCCACCCTTTGATATCAGGCCCCTGTAGAGTATTTTGGTCTAAATAACCCAAAATGTGATGTCCACATATGTGGATGCCAGGTCATAGGAGGTTAATGCAATAAATATATCTTTTTGCTGTCCCAACAATCTATGAAGCCTTAAAGGATGTGAAAGGAGTTGTTTAAGCTCTTTTGTTGAGGTTAAAGACTTCTCAGATTTAAATGAATTAAAGAATACTGGAATCTGTCTTTACTATATTCAATAAATATTGTTTTAAAATTCCAATTTAAGAAAAAGAGGAAAATCCAAGCACACAGCTCAGCGTTATCAGTGGCACTGCATAGAATAAGCATACAAGCAATGCAGCAATAGCATGGGCGTGTATTTACTCCACAGACATGCAGAGAATCTGCAACAATCCTTGCTGGAGTTTAAAGCAAATTACAAATTACCAAAAGTCCAAGACAAGCCAAATCCTGTATGTATGGTCGCCAAACAAGCATACCTATGAAACTATTGCCAACAAAAAACAAAGAGCCGTAATGAACCATATTCCGACACACCATGTGCTGCTAGCTGATCATCTGCCTCCAATGTTTTTTGGAAGAACAGAGCACATTACCGCTCGCTGCCATGTTTGCTTGTGTCAGAACTTGCAAAATACTCATAATACTGTGCACAGGTGAATGCACACTTAAATGCATAAACTTGCAGAGTCATGTACACACTGTCACGCACTGTGTAATCAGCTTTCCCCTTTCCACCCACTGGAGAAAAAAAAATATCCCAAGAATCACTTGAGTGTGAAATGCTGAAAACATCCTGCATCCAAATCATATCAAGAGCACGGCAGATTCCCTTTGCTATTTGCCTGTTTTGTTTATTTGGCTCCTGCATGCCGGCAGATTGAGCACTTGTCGTAATGACCATGCATTGTCAGGCCCACGGTTGTCGGCAGGGAGAGGACTGGCTGTATTGACAAAGCTGCCATGACTCTAAAACCACATTAACAGTACAACTGCCAAACTAACACAATGCTCCGAGGCATCTGATGCTTGGTGCATCCATCCTGATGTCTGTAAGCCCTGCTGTGGAAACCGTGGCAAACTTCACTCACAGAAGATGTTTTTAGAGGTGTGACATCCTGATGGATGGTGAGAGGGAGACAGAGGGAAAAGAAGGAAAAGAGACACAATGGCGGGAAGATATACTTCACTGACCTGAGCGCTATCCCCGCTGCCTCCTACTGAGTTCAGAAAGATGTTGATAAAACATTTTTTGGATGTTGTGAAGAGGTGCCTATTGAAAAGATGATGCATCGCCACATGCTAAGGAATTTCACCTTGATGTTTTCTCCCATAGGGCCAGATTCACTAACTCGTACCACCAGCACCAACTAGCATTAGATATCGTTCTATATTTACAAACAGAGTGCAGTGATGGACCCTCTGTCAAACGCATCAGGTTCCTTCCTCAATGCACAAAATATAAGATGGAGAATATTTAACTTAAGCAAACAAATTGATTTACTAACATTTGTGCCACACAATTTACATAATTGTGCCAACATTTATCAGATATTTTCAATTACTGAAGCCGGTGTTCATTAAAACGACTCTCTCTGCCAGGCTACATTTAATTACATTAAATGTAGGCCTACATGCAACATACGTATGACCTATATTTATATGTTACTGATTACAATTAACAAGCTGTGCCTTTCTTGTTAGTAAATTACCTGCAGCTGAATATCATCTCTTAGTTTGTGACCTAAATTGCACAGGTCTTGGCAGTTACATTGAAATGAATTCTGACTTTATTTTGAAAACAGCAAAACTTTTGTAAATTACCTGCAAAACTAACCACAACTATCATTACTATTTCTAGATTGTGCTCACATGCCAATTTGCCCCATCTAGTAAATCTGGCACAGCCTCTTTACTTTCATCTGTCCTATTGTTTATTTTTACCATCAGTAATAGTTTAATATTAACATTACTGGAAATCATCCCTGAGAGGGTTGCATCAGGAAGTACTTCTGGCATAGAAATTTGCAGAATACTATGCAGATTCATCTGCTGTGGCCAGAAAGAAGCTTTATTAACATTATTAGATAAAAGAAATAAATCACAGTCCTCCTTTCACTTTGGGGGTCACCACAGCATCTATTTCCATCTAATCGTATCTGTAGCATCCTTCTCTGTTACCCCAAGCCTCTGCACATCCTCCTTCACTACATCCATTCAACATCTTTTGTCCAATATAACTATTATCCCTCCTGTGCAAACCAACCCTCATGCCCAAACCATTTCCAAAACACTTGACTTGAGCTGTCTCGCTGATATACCCACTTCTGTTCTTGTCCATTCTGGTCATTTCAACATCTTCAGCTGTGCTACCTTTAGCTTGGCCTTCTGCCTTTCTGTCAGTGCGACTGTGAATATATGAAAGTCCAAACGAGGATAAAATAGCACTTCTCTGATCAAACTCAAAAGATACAAACAGGGACTTGCTTTTCTAAGGACTATAAAAATAGAAGGTACAAATTTAGATCCTTGCAGAACTCCACTTTGAACTCCACAATTTAAGCACTGAAAATAATTACTGGATATGGAAAAGATTTAACCATGTGAGGTATAAGTTATCATTGGTGACAGACCCAACTCTCCTTTACTGGCTATAATGACATTTTTAAAAAGAATGTCTTTTCAATCAGTCTTGTCTTGGCAGGATGTGTTCTTACAAATGAAGATATTCTGCATTTAAAAAAAAAAAAAGAATTTTAGCCCTCTCTCTTTTAGGGACTTCTGAAAAAGGGTTATTTTCAATTTTGGTAACAATTAGCTGTTTCTAGCTGCTTGTAGATAAGGAAAGACACTATGCCACTTTACTATCTAGAGAGATAATCAACCATGTCAGTTGCAACATGTGTCCACCCTTTCTTGGTGTGAAGTGATATTCTACGATAAATGTATCAATGTTTTGTACTACTTGTCTACATCCCTTTAATTATTTCTGTATAAGGACAAACATGGGTTTATAACAAATAACACAGGCACGTATAAAAATCTACTCTCAAAAAGTGGTCGTAGTTTTACCTTGATCAAGCCGTATTTATCTCACCTCTGTCACATCACACTTTCAGTAAAATTTGAGCCCATCTAAAACAGCATAATACTGCCCATCTTTCACTGATTACCCTATTTTGTCTCTGGGATTGCAGGTATCGCCATAGCCAGTGCTCTGGTCGACACGTCACAGCAGCGAGTGATGGACTTGAAAGAAAGAGCCCTGGGTCTGAAGCACCGCAAACACATTGTGCACCATCAAGGGACCTGTGTATGAACTATGTGCCCTCAACGAGGTACCACCGCATCCAAAACGTCCAAAGGGGAATTTCACTGGACACACTATTTTTGACTTTAGACACAATGGAGAATTGTGAACACAAAGGCAAAGCCTGCAAAAAAATAGGGTTGGATGATCCTTGACCTTAAAGTGGTTTGGAAAGAGGACGGATATGGATTGAAGCATACAGATGGGGCGAAACTACTCTCTTCACAGGCACCCAAAAGGGGTAAATGGTACTTGTAGTCATATTCTTCCTTGGACCAGATACAAGGTTTTTGTCATTGTCCCTCGTCTGTATATTTTCAGAGAAGTACTTGCAAAGTGAGAATGTCTCTCCACCACAGCTTTCTTTGAAATTTGCCACGAGGAGCTGGCAGACCTTTTCCATTTTCATGCCATGTGGTTTTGTCTCTCCCGGGTTCTACAGTCTGCCATATTGACAGAGAAAATAAAATAGAACTTGTTTTTCACCAAACAAAACTAAATGACTTTGACCTCCAGTCAAAAGATATTGATAGTTGATATAAAGTCCTCCTGATTTACAAACCCAATGAGACTCAGGAGCAAAACCAGTAAAGAAGAACACCGATTTAACTAGATAATTGCAAAAGTCTTTAGTTGGCGGAGGTCTATTACAATGATTCACTAGAGGAAAAAGTTTAATTTGCTAATTTTGAAGTTGTGAATTCAAAGAAATGCATTTTTGCTATGAAGCTCATTGGATGCAAGTAAAAAAAAAAGTGTTTTATGAAATATGTGTGGTTTGTTTTTCCCTACACAGCTGAAGTTATAGGTTTTAATATCTGCTCAGGTCCTCTGTGATGAAAAAGGTCCATTATCTGTAGCTCTGGGCCTTATATACACACATTTGTATATGCACTATAAGTGAAATGCTTTACCCGTACATTAGAACCCTCTGTGGAATTTTATTATGCAACTGATCTTCCAAACATGATGTTTATTCTGGGCTGCGATGTAACCTCAAGGTCGGTATCACACACAAACTACTGATGGTGTTCATATGCCTTTTTTATTTTTTCATTACTGTGAAGCTACCATATACATCCTCCCTCGTGATATTTCAAGTCTGTTTATCCGTAACACAAACTTTAATATAACACATCTCAGTATATATTATTTATTAAAAATGCAAAATGCGGTTTAACATTTTTTAATTAACTCACAAATGTTTGTTTTTGTTTTCTTTTTTTAAACAGAAACTGTAGATAATTAATTTTATAAAGGAAGTCTGTGCAGTAATCACATTTCTTTGCTTGTGCCCTCAGTGTCTTTATTCATTTCTAACTCTTTATTTTGTACATCACAGAACGTTTCATGTGATGTTAAGATGCTTTCCCTTTATCTCTCGTATCAAACCTCCATTTAATGTTGTAAAGTCACCTTTATCAGCTGCACTGCATACAAAGTAACATGATGTCTTTGATGCACATGTATTACCTACTGTTTTCTTTCAGGCATTTTGATGTAATTTTGCACCAATTTGTTGCTGAGATTTGGATTTACAAAGGGCAGCTCACCACCGTGTATTTGTCCATATGAGCATTAAATCTGCACATTTACAATTTAAAAAGAATAAATGCTTCTTTGTGTTGATATTCAGTCTGAAACTGTGTGTACTGTTACCTCTGGTGTTGGGAAACCGCATTGATTGGTGTTCTCAGGATGTCAGTCAGGTCAAATGACAAGATCAGCCAGAACTACAGACAGTGTCATCCAACACTGTTTCTAGAGTTACACAACGACTCTCACAGCATCCTGTGAAACAGAGTAAAGTTAACGTTACTTTAAACGTAATGTATCGCAGAAAGATGGTGTTGAATTTCCACGATTTCCATGTGCTATCAACATCCTAGGTATCTAAAGCACCCCTGCTTTACTAATATGTACCAAATCTAATTATTAAAGGCTTCGTTAAGTTAGAAATGCTTTTTATAAAGTGGATTCCACAGGTGTACCTAATATAGTGGCCACTGAATTGTATCCCGTTCACTTTCTGTTCTCTGTCTCTGTTTTATAATGTCCCTGGTTACAACCATCACTGCCTCCTATTTGTCATAATGTGTGTGCAAAGGGGGGACATCGAGAACAAGCACTTCCATTACATTTCTCACCATACAAGCCAAATGACCTGTTTAATATACAAATTAAACAATAACTACATTCCATCCATGTGTACCTCCCTGCCAGAGCATCACAGTAAGATGTTGTTTAATAAAACCTGGATATGGCTCAACATTTGTACAAATACTATCGTTTTAAAATAAATCCATGTCTCCTTCTGCTGCACTCATAAATGGCTCCTGTATGCTTTTAAATCGACTATATCCCTTTGTCATAAAGCGGTGGGCGTTGCTTGTTGAGGTGATCCCAGAATCTTCTGAATTAGACACTTTTATGCAAATGTGGGGCTCTAAACAGAAGAAAATGCCAAAATATATCCTTTCTAAGGAAAAGCCGTGGGGGATCTAGTGGCTACACTGCTCTAATGCCTGGATGCATTTCAAGATCATTCACAGTCTGTAATACAGAGGTAAAGACATCCAGTTAAACAATGTTTTCATGTCAGTAATCATTTATATATTCCTTCTTTTACCTTAAAATAACCTTAAGAACTACCAGTTTATTCCACTGGGCATTTCTTTCATGTTTTTTAATGTCATATTTATGTCTAATCAAACAACTACATTAGGGTGTACATCTTAATTGGAGCTTAATTGCAGAAAACTATGAACAAAGGCGTAATTGTTATATTAATAGAAGCAATTTAACATGCTGTTTGACTGTTTCCTTTGAAAATCTCATCTGGAACTTGAAAGCCCTCTGAACATTACATTGGGTCAACGCTGCTGCTGTCACCACCATTAGTGACCAAGAGGAGATAAGTGCTCCTTTTTATGCTCTTAGCTCACTGTATTTTCTTCCCTCAAGATAAAAGGCTACAGTATTTAACATTAAGTGGATTGCTGGCATCTCCACTCCACTCAATACCCAAACGTCAGGGGCAGCAGGAAGTGGTTCACTTTCCCTTTTATCTTGATCTGAGATGTTTTTGAACTGGTTCTGAGTATGAAGAGGGCCTGTGTTTTTAGGGTAAAGTCAATGTAAGAAGCTCAATAAATGACTGACATCCCCCACCACGACAACACGCAGCACCAAACAGAATGCAAACATGCAAAGTGTCTCAAGAAAGAAGGGACACCTGTCTAAGCAATAGCTTTCTGCTACTCTTAAGCTCAAACTGCTTTACAACTTATACATGCAATTTACCTGTCATACACCCAGGAGGATAAGATGGGTAGGAAAACAGACAACAAGAAAACACATATAATGTATTCTTGAATATATACATGCACAGTGACTTAATTACCAGTGAATAATGATTATACGCCATCTGATTATATGCAACACATGTATTCTCAGGTTATATTTCACACCTAACAGAAGACAAATGGAACTAAAAGCTGATCCACATTTTGACATTTGGCTACACAATACCATTGGTACTTCACATATGATTTGACATTGAATACATTATAGAAAACTGCCACAACTATCATGTCAATTATTATTAAGATAGCTCTCTGTCACTCACTGATGACATCAAAGGATTGCTATCAGCATGCCAGTAACAGAAGGTTTTCAGTAACAGAGCCTTTTTAGCATCATTTAGGGTGTCATTGGATAGCCCAAAGTGATGATTAAAAGGGTTAAGGATGCAATGTATTGATAACAGCCTCCTTTTTGAAGCCAACTACAACTGCTAGTCGGCCTCACAGCTGCTCAATAAATGACTGTTTGCCACGGTCCTTGAAAACTGAGGTTATCCAATTATATCTTGATGCATCCTCAATTATCCAGGTAAGTAAATCCCAAAAGGTTGATTCTGATCATCTTGACGTAAAGTTTTCAGTGGTAGAAATGTTTCTTCACTCATCCAAGTGGCTTGTTCAGTCTCGGCTGACTGCGGGTTTCCCCAATCTTATAAACAGTACATTTCCATAATTACTGAAACCAGCCCACTGAATGAATGCGCTGTGAGGTCAGTTCCTTGATCATTAATATGCAAATTTTCATGACCATTGATCAACAACCATTGATCAAAGACCACTGATCAAAGGTCATGAGTACCATTCACAGAGAGTTGGGGAATGGCTGCAATCACAGCATTGTAAGATGGTGAAAGTAGCCTTAGGCCTCCTCGATTCAGAGATGGTCTTTCCCCTCGCATGTTTCTGTGGTTTCTTGTTTTCAGTGTGCTTCAAACCCAAAAACACGATGTCCCAGCTATAGCAGCCGGATAGCATAGTGGTAAGACCACATGTGTTTCGCGTGGGGTTCGCAAGTTTGATTCCTGCCTTGTGCATCTGTATCCAGTCCTGTATCCCCATGGCTAAAGATTGATGAATTACAATAGACATGCTAGGGCAAGGGGGAGTCAGGACAACAGGTCGGGGGGGAGATATGATCACCCACCAGTGGATGAGGTTAGCCAACTTCGGGGCCTTAGAGGTGGTAGTTATATTATTAGTTTGAGTCCTATTTGTTACTACAATACCTCCCAAACATGTGCTCTTGATGCTCAAGCTTAAATATGATAACTTATCATTAAAAAAAAACTGCTACTACTTAAATCCCCTTTGTTAACTTTTCAGTTTTATGTCAGAGATGATTTTCAGCTCGGTGGAGATAAAGTTTCTAATTTAGAAAGCTCAAGGTCTAAATTTAAGACATAAGTAGAACATTTAGTCTGAAATGAGTCTTCTATTAAATTAGCAAAAATCAATCACACATCACCTCTGCCAAGTCTGCATTTTGTCACATACACACACAGTCTCTGTTAGGAGCCTAGTGCACACAGTGCAACGCTCTAATACAATGTCCTCGTGTCCTTTTCAGAACATGTTAAGTAATAAAACTGATTACTTCTTAAGGTCAGAACTCTGGTTTTTCTCTTTTCTCCTTCAGCTTCCCCATCTCTCACTTCTGTCTCAATGCACCATCTCTGCTGCCCTCTTCCTGCCTCCTTTCTCACATCCGCTTGGCGTCACCTCCTTCTTGTTGAGGACTCAGGGTCAGCTGAGCCACATCCTTGTGATTAATGCCCCGTCCAGACCTCAATCTTTATGCCATTACGGGCCAATTGTGGCGGGTAATTCGGGCCACAGTCTGAGGACGAGTAACCGAGTCAGGCAGATGAGGGTAGGGGGTGGGTGGGGAGTGACGAAGGATTACAAAGCACACTGCTGTCCTCTGTCCACCTCCCTCCACACACACATAGGCGTGCGCGCACACACACACACAACCAAACCAGCGACCAGCCAGTAAGTCAGCCAGCCTCAGTGACGCTGTGAAGAATGTTGGCCCTGTCAGCGTCGTCCTTTACTCAATACCACCACGCACTGCTCTGTCATAAGTGGCCTTCTGCACTAACAAAGAGAGTATTTTTCCCCCCTCACCACACAAAGTGCAATGATGTGGATGAAAGAGGAGTGAAGCTATTGATGCACTATATCAGCTTAATTTTGTGAGCAATAACCAGAGAGACAATAAACAGGAGGGTCAGCTGACAGGTCGAGGTGACCGGTTTCCTGCTTTGTCAGAGTTTAACTTCAGAAAGAAAACATTTTGTGTCATCGTGTAATCTGTGTTCCCTCTTGTTCTATCAGTTTGTCACCCAGACTGACTTTATGTAATTATCTAAAGTTATTCAAACTTTTCTCTAAATAAAAAAGCTAAGTTAAAAAAAGTTCAGCAAAACCTTGATTTCATCCTTTATGTTTAGATCAAACAGGTTTCTTCAATATGCTTATAAAATAATCCCTGTTTTGCATTTGTCTACAGCTTTTACGATTTTATTTAGCAAGGTTAAGGCATTTGAGAAATGTGAACTTTTTGTAGTGTGCCATCCCATATGGAAAAGAAATAGAAAAAACGTATAAAAGACTTGCATCAGATGTGGCCTACTTCATATAGTGAATCATATAAGGTTTATATGATTTACTCATGAAAGTGGCCACTTTCATATATTGTTTTAGTAAGTATACAAAACATACAAGTTTCATTTATATAATTTCTCTAGGGATCACTATTGCATGCTTTTCATACAAGTTTCACACAAGACAGATACAAACTTTATAAGATTTATATACTTCTGTTCCATATGAGGTAGCACCATATGACGATCCCATGTACCACCTGTCTTCTCAAATCTGCTCTGTTTACACTCAAATCTGCCTGACAGAAGAACAAGCCTCAGCATTATGGTCTGTGTAGGTTCTCAGTCATCCAGGACATGGTAGTCTAAGAGCTTGGGAAAAAAGTGGTACAAAAGGGTAACCGTGGAACATGCAAAGAGGAGGCTATTAAGCAGTAGAGAGTAAGACACCCAATATCACGGCAAAGCATGTCATAGGCACGTCTCTTAAGCGTGAAATGAACACATATGCTTCAGTTGCAGATTATATTTCAGTAAAACAAAACTTCAAATCTTATTCAAGCCAACATGAAAATAGTCATAGGAAAGCATAAACAGACTGAGGAGCTTGGGGAAAAAAACGACTGGACTTCTAAGTTTCTTGAACAACAGAGCTCTGGTTCTTTAGACTACCATGCCATGGATGAGACTGAGAACCTACACAGACACATTTAAAGAGACATTACTAACACATTTGCATATAAATACACACCAGCCACCTAGCTTTATTGTTTCTGGCTTAAAAGGAGCTTCGAATTTATACCTTCCTTGGTGACTAGTGGCTTGTTGGCTTTAAATATATTATCTCCCTATGCTGGTACTGCAACTTAAGCATGCGTGTCCATTTCACTCTTAGGAGAGACAAAGCGTGACATGTACACAACGAGCCAGCGTGTCTACTGAATACTGAGGAGTCTAATGAGGTTTAATTAAAATGTGCCACCATAAAGTTTTGAGATCAAGAATTCTTACACTGTATTGTTGCAGAGCTGTTAGAATTGTTCTCGTTTTCTTGGTTTTAGTTTCAGTTAATTTGCTTGTTTCCCCTTTAGATTTTGATCTTTAGTATTTATTAATTTCTCTTTTAGCTTTTTTCTAATACTATAGTTCTGCGTATGTTAGATGCAAGGTGTAGAAAGAATTTGTATTACACACTTGTATGAAGGCCTGTTAATTCACTGTCATGGCATCCACTGATGCCCCCTCAGACTGGTTGTGTTTACCAACACAGCCAAGACAAAGACCAAAACAAGGACAGTTTATATACACTTCTATTTATTTTTGGAAACCAGGGGGTATTCTTTCTTTTTATCATGACTCTAGTGTCAACAAAAATTGTACTAAAAAAACCTTTGAAGCTGCTGTGCATCTGCAAACCACTTTGCAACCCTTCTTGAAATTGCTGACTTTTACACTGTCATATCCATTTTAACTGATGCCTGCTCTGTGCTGATCTTGTTGCTGCCCCTCCCATCTTTATGTCTATGCATGTAGAAGGCAGTAGGTGCCAGAACAGAACATTTCTCCAAAATATAATATAGGTCAATAATACACATTACAATGTTCTCAAACCCCAGTGCCAAGTCCTAGAGGCCAGTCTGTGACTCCCTGGCAACCCCAAATCCTTGTGATCTCTAGCAACTAACGCAATGAAGGAGAATCCACATTTTTTTAACCAGCAAACTTGGTTGCCAGGTGGTCACTAAGTGGTCACCCACTGGTCTGTATAACTTGTGACTGGGACATGAGAAGACTGTTATTTGTTGTGTTATTTATTTACTTCTAATTATAAAATTATAAGTAAGTATACTTATATTAATAAATATTCAGGAGCATAATTCTCGGACCAGCCTACCTCGTATAACACCTGACTTAACACATGAGTTTATCAGTAGTTTGTTGACATACATTTTTTCTTCTTCTTCTTCTTCTTTTTGATCTCTTAAAATGTTTATTCACATCTCACTAACACACATTATTGGTTGTTCCGTCTTACAAGAGAATTAAATGAAGAAGAAAAAATTCAGACATTAAAGTTACAAACAAAATTACCAATTATACCGGGATTATAAAGACGCACAGATGATTACGACACATCTATTATTATTCATAACCTATTTGTCACAGGGACATGAATTGACCACACAGGAGTTTACTGCACTGCAGTGCAATTCCCTCATGATACATTAATAGCTGTTAATTCATGCTGGTGTCAGGAGACCCGGTGTGTTTATGTTAAGTTTTATGATCCTCTTATAAACTGCCCATTAATGAATAGAGCTTTTGTATCGATGAACTATAAAAATAGATAATATCAGGAGCCTTGTTATGAGTGTGAGCGAATGAGGCTGCAGGATGATTGTCAATTCTAACAATGAGTCTGGTTCAGGTTTATTCTGGTTATAATTCATATGCATCACCTATCTTAAAAGTTATTGATGCTAAAGTGAAAGTGTTTATTGTACCACAAATCTCTATAACATGTGTGCCTAGAGAAAGGAAGGGCAATGCAAGAGTGTGTAGAAACCTTACCTGTGTTGAACTCTGGAAAGGTCGAGTCAAAGAAGATTAAAATGTTATCTGGACCTATCAAGGTGGATGAGTTGGAAAACAAACAATCCAGTCAGTTCTTATGAATGCAGAAAACACAACCATCTGTAAACACGCTTTAATGCTGGTCATTTTCAACATGTGGTTGAGAGGGGATTGACTCCAATTTGGTGGCTACATGAACTTTTAGCACCTCCATGTTGGCTACATGCTTCATCTGTGGGGGTTGTACCTTGATCCTAACAAATGACAAATTCTGTGGCCACAAATCAGAAATCAGTCCAACAACTAGTAACTGTTTGAGAGAAGAGGCTTAGATGGAGATCTACTTTGTCTCGAAATTAAAACATTTTTAAGAAGATCAAATCTAAACTGTAGTTTCAGATTTCATAGAACTTAATGACCTCTAAAAATGAAAAATGTCTGAGGAGGGTCAGATAGGACACCTCCTGTTACTTAATATATACAAAGATATTACAACCTGAGGGACAGAACTATTATTTAATGGGAAGCATCTTCATTTCATCTCAGCCAATATGACCAAGCAAATCTCATATAAGACTTTCAAACATTAAGGAAACACACAAAAACATGTGCAGAAAGCTTCTACACTAAAAGAACTTCCAAATGGCACCTAGCGAGGTAACCATGCAGATTTTGAAGCCAACATTCAAAATTTAGATTGTACTCTAAAGTCAGTAACTATCATGCATTCTTTGTTTCTTCATTCAAAACAACACATTTTAGTTTGCAGTAGGTTTATTGATTTGGACCTATTTGTAAGCGCATCCATTTAGTTTCCATATGCATTTATACCAATTCATTTCTTTTTTGCTTTGTGACTAATCATTGATTCTCTTACCTGCCATGAGCCCTGGGAGTTGCCAAACAAAAGATGGCAGCCAGGGTTTAAAGCACTTAAATACATAGAGGGGATGATTGGACCGCACCACCACTTCCTGCTGAAGGGGGAGAATGTGTATTTTCTTTGATTTAAAAAAAAGCTTTTGTATTTGATTCAATATTTGTCTTTAGGGTTTAGTGGTTTTGATTTTCTTCTTTGGTGTTTAATTTATTGACAAACTGGACTGTACTGCATCGTTTTTGTTGTTTACGACTGTGTTTTGTTTAGCTACCCCCTGTTGCGTCATAGTGGTCTGACCTGCCTTGTGTGTCATTTCCTGTTTAGGTCGGTTATGTTTGGTTTGTCAAGTTCAAAGTTTCGTTTTGTTTCTTTGACCTCTTTTATGAGCTCAACATTTATTGTTTTGTAAATATAACTTTTTGGGTTAAATAAATGAAAACCCTCTTTTTCTAATAAGTCCACAATGCAACAACTGCAAAAAGAAAGCAAACAATCACCTGGAAAAAAGCCATGAAATGACCACAACTACCATAATTATCAAGTCAAGTAAATTCTAAACACTCATTGAATAACAAAAAGAAAAGTACAGAATTTGCCTGTGCAGTAATTCAAGCATGGTGTCAGTCCGGTCAGGCTAGGACGTCACGTCTAGAGGCAGATTTGCTCTGCCTACAGTTGCTGCAAATCTGCAAACTAATTTGCAAGGCATCTCTACACCGGCCATGTTATGTGCAGTTTCTGACTTAAACGCCATACCTGTTGTCACTGATGCCTCCTCTAATATTTGCTGGGTTTTGCTAAAACTCCCAAAATCTTACTAAATATATACAGTGTCACCTTAGATGGAAGTATTAACCTTCTTTTGAATATAGTGGTCCTATGTTTCATTTGTATTCTCTTAAAAACAAATCAGCATGATTCAAGATTTTGATGAAAATCTCTTGTGGAAATGACACCTTTGTATTCGCGCTAGGACCAAATTCTAGTTCACTAAAATACGCGGTCATTAATTTGATTTTGAGAGTCAATTCTTAACTAAAATGAGGTGAAGCTCATTCTTGATGAAATTTGCATCTATAGCCAACCACTGTTCTTATTCTAAAGTTATTCCATTTTACTGCACAGAAGCCAGGTGATGCCTGCTTGTGCCCCACAGCTTTAATCACAGCACATTCATGAATGGCGTTCCACAGTATGAAAAAAATGGCTTTAATGACTCTTAATAGGCTCAATTTCTGAATGTGAAACGTTGCCTGCTATCAAAAAGTCATATTTTCCACATTTACTGGATTTTATCATTTGATAGCTGTCTTTACAGTTTTGTTTGGAAGCTGCAGGTGGAGTGGGGACTAATTTTAGGATTGTATGTCATGTATTTGTGTGACTATTTTATAGTCTATATTGTGACTTTCAGATTCAGCACCACCTGCCCAGGGGCTCGTCCATGTAAAGTAAACTGGGTAGAAAGAGACTTACAAAGGGGAGCTATAAGGTTGAGATTTATTATTTTAATTGGTACCATTCCAACATGTTAGATTTTGGTGCTTTGGTGTTTTCATTAAACATAGACTTTTGTTTTTAAGCATGTCTCACACCTCAGTAATCCACACTTCTCCTCCAGGAAGTAGAAAGAAAATGTCACTTTTAATTGTGTTATCTGCTCTTTCTACCCCCTCAGGGTGGAACAGAAGCAAAGACAGGTTTGTAAAGTGGACAGAACTGAAGGGTAAAGTATGTTTTTGGAACAAATTAAGTCTTTCCACTTGAGGCTGCCATATTAATTACATCATTGCAGTTATTCTACTGTATATTCTGCTTGATTCTCGGACATCGAAAACGTCAATGCAAGACTAATCTTTGAAGGAAATCTGAATTGCCAGGGTGAAGAGAAACAGCCAGTATGATTCAACTTGTTTCTTTTTCCACAAATGGACTCCAGATGAAACAGATTATAAAATAAATAAGTTAACCCAATAGAAAATGAATGTAAGCAAACCTACAAACAGTAACAGATCTGGAATCCCCACTGTTCTTTTACCATATAAGTGAAACAGCCTTTATTTTAAACTGATGTAAAACAAAAACATCAGTTTGTTCTACAAAATAGATTTTTCACTAGATTTGCAAAGTAACTGGTACAGTAACCTAGATAATAAAGTATAGTTTAACAGGGATTTTGGAGGTTGTGCATGGTGGACCTCGACAGCAGAAAGTGGATTAGCACGCACAGCAGCAGCTCTAGATAGCCGAAGTGGAGTTCAGTAGACTGTATAACAAAAAGTTGGGTAAACTGCTAGTTAAATAAATACATTTGAATAAATATCAATAGTAGTAAGAGTTTCCATTAACTGAGCAGGCACAGTTTTGTTTTGTATGTGGATGTCTGCAACTTTGATACAGTAAAGGAATAAATAAATGACATCTGTGTTGAAACTGGATATGGAAATGTATTCTTTTGTTCACTTTACAAATGCTGAACACAAACTTCAGACCAGAAATGAGAGTCAGCAAAGGAGGGCACACTTCACTTATAACTTTCTTTATGTTCCTGTTGTGACCAACGGTTGTGAACTGGTCTCCTTGGCAATAGTAAATAAATAAATTACTGAAACCATTACATTTTCTTTCTGCGTGTATGAAATTTGTTGTATAGTTAATGGCTGCACATAAAGAGTGACTTGAACACAGTGGTAGAGAACGATGTCCACGGATCACCTTATTTTAGGCATTAAAAATACTGTGAGTCAGATATTTTTTGCAGCTTGTTGCATTAAGTGATGTGGCATTTATGTTCACTTCCCCAAATTAACAAATTCTTGGCTAATGGGTTTCCAACTGCAAACGCTTAACACAGTGCTTGGTATTAATGGGTGAGGATGTGCAGTTCACTTAATGGAAGAGAAAGTAAACTCAAATGTCAGACTAATTTGATGACATTTGATGACAATGCACACAACAATTTCCCCCATCGTGCTTTTCTATTATACAATAATGTTTTATTCATATTGCTTAAAATGCATCTGCAGATGTGCCCAATGCCAACTATCAACTCCACTTTTATGACACATTTAGCCATAACTGGGAGCTCGAGGGCCAGTATTTACCTGTTCGAAGGAGTTTTTCAGCCCACTTTCTGAATCTCTGCTACAGAAGTGCTCCAAAGCACTAAGTATTTGGAAACCTTTCATGAAAACCGATTCAGAAAGGAGGTGGAAATGAGGAGGGACAGACAAAAAGGGAAATGCTGGAGGAAGTTTGGCCTCACAGTGCAGAAGGTCAGTTTTTTTGTGCTTTTTCTAAAGTGGCTAAAGTGTTTTCTTGGTAGGGAAATTTTAACAGTGCAAGGTAATTTCTTTATGCAGTTAACGTTACACTCAAGTGTTTCCAGAAAATCAGCAATAAGACCACTCGAGCCAGGTGCTTGAGTCCAACCCACATATTAATGACTCCTTAAGGATTATTAAGTGCAGTTGACATGAATATTTCCTTGCTTAAAAACGCCAAAAAAAAAAAAAAAAAAGCCAAAAAGTCCAAGTCTCGGCATGTGAACCATACTTCTGGTCATTAAATTATTTAAAATAAATAATGGCCCCCAAAGCCGTTGAATGGAGGCTCTGGTGTCGTAGACCCCAGCCTCTATTGATCTTGTGCTTAGAGCTTATATATACATAAATAAGATGTAATTGATCAAAATGCTGCACATTATCTGTACAAAAAAAATATCTACAGGAGTATGGATCTTGCCTTCTTTCTTTGAAAGTTTTTCTTAAAGTCCAGCACCTGCCACAAAGGTCTCTGGTATGCGTGTACCCTTTTGTTCCCCGTGGTTCTGTTTCTCAGCACGGTGCCTCGGATAATATAGTATTGCTGTGTGCTCACTTGGTCTGCTGTGACCCCTCCTCCTCACACCAGTTGGTCAAAGCTAAAAAATTGTGCGAAACCTCAGATGACTCTTACTTTATCTTTGGGTTTCCTCTGGCTTGGTAACCCAGGGTCAGCTGCATTAACACACATGATCTTATCGGCCTCTCTGGATCACCTCACACGGCCTCAATGTTTCTTTAATCCTGCCCGCCTCACCTGTCTTTCCCACGGGCCCGGTGCCTACCTTTCATGTTTCCACAGGGAAATAACATCACATACAAGCAGTCTGGGTGATTTAACAGTTTTTAATTATAACTTTTTGTACAACAGATTTTACATTTTCACAAGCTAAGAAGTTGATGATGCCACATAGCTAAGGGAGTCTGCAAACTCAAAATCAAAAGAAGCTGGTATTTCTGGTATTTCAAAAGAACAAATGGGACTGTGAAGGACAGCAAATATTTTTACCATCTCTACTGTTTGTTTGGTCCAAAAGTGGGGATCCTTTCATTGTGAGGAAGTGTCCCCAGTTTTGAGGCCTTCTGTGATCAGAAAACACTGAGTCACTCTCATATTCCAAAGACCACGAAGACACGGCTCTGGGATTCAAATATAAAATGATCACACATACTCTAAGACACAGTTCTTAGAAATGCAATCAGTCCCAGGCAGGGCTTTTTGTAAAACAACAACTAATAAGATTTCTCTTTAACTTTCCATCCAAACAGACATTCAGTTTGTGGGAATCATCCCACGTCCCCAACCATCTTCAAACACACCATGAAAAAATCCTTCCAAAGCATGGTCCGGAATATATTTGTCCTTAAATATTGATTTCTAACACCATGCAATGAGTTTTCTGTCTTCCTTAACTTCAGCATAAAAAAGAACCATTTAAATCTTTAGCAGGTCCATCTCATTAACTTCAACTCATCAAAAGAGCACAAATTAGTAAAAGATAGAAAAATAAGTGTAATTTTTATCCAAACAACAAACAAACAAAGAAAAACCTGTCAACACTGCATTTTAGCAACGTCATAAATGGGGCTATGGTACAAAACAGTATGCTTAGGAAATACAGCTGTTTTTAAGGTACAGTAAGAGAGTTATAATGATATCCTCTGCCTCAGATGCAATAATATTCCATAATCATGTACATACTGAGAGAAATATACATTTAAGTTGTTATAAAAAAAACAATATTCTGGCTTATTCAATGTACTCTATGTTGTATCTGAATGTCAAAATAGCTCACAATGCTCTGAAATAGAATATTATCAGACATTTATTTGTCCAATTCATAGTTTCAGCCAAGTACATACAGTGCATATACCATGTTTATGCTCGGTAAATAACATTAAAGTTCTACTATACATTAGTTGTGTTTTGAGAAGCGACATAAACCTAAGCAGCGAGTGATGAGTATCTTGTCAGTGGCTAGTGCTGAACATGCCACAGAGATGTAAGTATCCCGATCACAGAGAAATCTGTCAAAATTAAAAGCTAAGATTTTATTTGCCTCCAATGGAAAAGCTGGAAAAATGATGCCACAATGCCGTGTTTTTCCCTTTTTTTAATTTTTCCAGTAGTCATCCAAAGTAGACGCACAAAACCATTAATGATTTCCATATAGATCAGAAGACAAAAGTAACCATTTGCTAAACTCCTGCCTGTGCTTAAGGTGTCAAGCTTTGAAGTCTGTTCAACATGGCAAAGTGGTGTTCGTCACGAAGAGCAATTTAACAATATTTGAAAAGTAGGAAGGGTGGTATCATCTCTTGACTCTAACGTTCCATTTCAAATACCTAAATCAACTCTTAAGTTGATATTCTTTATAATTCAAATTTGAAAATTATTAGGTTATTAACAACTAACACTGTCAGATCAGGACTCTTTGCCCTCAGGAGCATCATCCACGGAACATTTACCAAAGTTAGCTCTCATTCTCAAAACTGTTTCTAGTTTTCCAAGTTTCTAATGATGACATATTAGAACAAAATAATTTGCATTTCCAAATCTGCTAAATGCATGCTCACGGTTTCCCTGGAACCACAATAGGCTGTCTATTGTGTGTGCGTCTTGTTTTAAAGCAGCTTGTACTGAACTTTGGATACTTTCTTGTTATTTATTTGTTTGTTTTTGGAACTAGAAGTGACAGATTAGGACCACAGAGTCAAGTGCTAAGCTGTTAGCTAACACTAACAAGTTTTCTTAGGAAGGTGCACCCACAGACTGAACTGTCACACTGCACAGACACATATACCTGTTGATAATATTCAAGTAATATACAACTAAAAGATGAGAACTTCCGTTATTAAAACTGGACTTAGTGGACAGACTATTGGCCAAATTAACCACACAGGAATCTTATTGAATAAGTGATCACACTAGAAATGCTCCAAAAGGTAACAACACCACGAATATGGCCGAGGGGTCAAGTTCAGTGACCTGAATTAGCTGAGGTGAAGGCTAGCAAACATCTAGCATATTTCAGGCAAACAGCACAGCTTATATTAGGAAGCAGAGTTGGCGTGTAGCCTGCAAGTGTACAACAAAAACCCTCATTTGAGGTTCTCGTTCTCTAACCAGTAAATGTTAATTATGTAAATAAGCTTGTTAGTTAGAGATTATAAAGTATCTGTGACAGATCTTTGCTACTTAAAATGAAGAGGAAATTCTGCCTCTTTTATGTCATTTGAAACTCACCATACTGGAATTAATTAGCAACAGTGACTACGGCTTATGGGGTTTAGCAAATGGTCAGCTTAAATTTAACATTTCCTCTCTGAACATGCTTTGACAGTTTTACAATTGAGGCAATAAGTTGTAACACAGAAGTGACAGAAGACGATGTACTGATGGATGCATGAGTTAGTGCTGATTACACTCTACAGCAGCAAGCCTGCTTTTTGTCAGCTCTGGTTTTTGTGGGCTCGATGCAGTGGCGTTCATCTAAGCAAAAAGGAAAATTCAGGTAAAACTTTAGCAGCTTCTCTCTTACCTTCTCCAAAAGAAACATTAAACATGGTTTGGACAATTGCAAGTATGCACAATCACTAACGAGTGGAGTGGATTCAGCCGTCCACAGCAGCGTCCCGACCTGTGATCGCTGAGCAACACGCCGTTTTATAAAGTGAAGAAAGGGAGCCGAAAGCCTCGGACCTAGTGTGTTGCTGTGTGTTTCTGTCTGACTGTGTGAAAATGTGCATCAAGTGTTTGTGGGACTTTGCCTGTGTGCTTCTGCCAGCGGCAATCTGTGTTCAGTATGAGCTACAATAGAAACAGTTTGGGCGCTAAACTTCTCTGACGTTTTAAGTTAATGTATTTTGTCCTAAAAAAAGAAAATGACTTTTTTTCGTCAAGTGACATTTAATTCAGCTCATAAAAATGTAAAATACCAGATCACGGCATTATCAAAACAGACACATACCACAGAGGAGATGGAGTAACACCTAAAAGGCTGCCCAAGTGATAATATGTAGCCATTACTGAACTCACTGTGACTTTTAAGCGAAAGATCCCACCTATAGCCTCAACACACAAACAGACATGGGTGAAAACTGATCAGACAACTCTGAAAATTGATGTTCGTTTACATTGCGTTCCAAGAGTCACACGCTGTGGTTTATTGGAATGTAGTCCTCCAGTATTTTCTCATCTCTGCCCAAGTGAGCGGGGTACGAAGCTGTTTTAAATCACCTCTTTCTCTGACTAACCCAACGTGAGCACACAGTCAAAACTTGAATTAACATGTATAGCAGATCACTGTTTTAGCACACAGCAGCAATGCTAAAAAAAAAAAAAAAAGAGAAGAAAGAAAGAAACAACAAAGCTTTTCAAAAATTCATTAAAAAAACAACAACAAATCAAAGCAGGAATTAAAAGACAGAATCCAAGAGAAAAAAGTACAACAGGTCTAACTGAAAAGAAAGGATATAATTCCTTGTTTGTCTTCTTCTTTTATACAAATGTGTTTGTCAGTCTGTTTGTTGCTGGGAAGTGACGCAGCTACAAATTGCCTTGCCAGGAAAGCACCGGCAGGCTGCAGTACCACAGCCAGAACAGCGGGGGCAGCAGGGAGGCCAGGCCCTCAGGCCATCTGGAGGCAGCCGAGTTTCTCAGGATGGCGTTGGAGGTACTTGGACCATCTATCTGAGGGTCCTGTTAGACAGGTAGACAGAGATTGGAGAAAATGAGCTCAGCGTGGTTCTGAGATGTCCCAGAAAGATTATGTTCACAATATGCAGCTGGCATTGCAGAGGAAATTAGGAGGAAATGCAAATGCCTCAACTTTTGCTTATTTTTATTTTATTTTGTTAATATTATGCCTACATACTCATGTTCACAATGTTTAAAATGTCTTCAGCATTCATTTGGTGTGGCACACTAAACCATGAAAGGTTGTTTTCATAAGTAAAATGCCACCGTGGAAAGTTAAAAAGTAGAAGTGTGTGTGTGTGCTTAAATTTGCATGTGCACCACGTGCTGGTATGTGTATACAGGACTTCACCAGCGGTCTTTGGCTAATAAAGCTGCAAGCTAACGGCTGGGTCATCTCCCCAAGACCTGGCCCTGCCTCTATTAAATGTCAGTCCAGTGCATAACAGTGCCTTATTATTGTACAATGACATTTACAGTGAACTTTAAAAGCCACCAGATAAGCAACGATCCCATTTCAGCCTCAAAGGAACTACAAAGAACAGGAGTTTACAAAGAAGGCAGGAAGGATTGCTGTGGCAATCACTGTCAGATGGAGGTCAGAGACTTTCAGCTGGGTCAGATTAGAATTGGTGATGATATGATAACTTGTCGATTGCCTTGTGGTCTTGAATGAAATTGTCGTATCAAATGAAAGGGCATAACAGTTTGAGCTTTCACCACCGAAACAAGTTATAGGTTCTCTTTGTGCGATACTGTATCTCAAAGCAAATCTTTAATAGCAGTTTTAACCTGTAACATCAATATAAACCAAACGGCCACCGTAATAAAACCTCCCGTCTAAAAAAGCACAGGTCCCCCTCGTGTCACCAAAATAACCCTGACGCTTCGGAGATAGATACAAGACCTTTATGGTGAGTTTTCTTAGTGTGCTGTGGTGTAGATGCGGGGATGTTGGCAGCACATCTTCTGTTTCTGTTACTTTAAAATGAGTGAGGAGGAGAATACCTCACACATATTGTGGGATACTAATTTGGACTCAGGGCTGGGTGAAGACCTTATGATCATGTGAACAAGTGTGATATTATTTATTTGGGTGGTATGTGTCACAGTAACACCCACATGTATACCAGGAACACGTTTCCCTAGCAGAATCATTAAATTATAACGAGATTATCAATGTTAGTTACTTTGCCTGTCAGGGACAGCGTGCTGTGGATAGATACTTGCAGAGCTGTGAAACATACTTTAGATGGATGCTTTCCACTCTAGTTATTAACTTTTACTTTAATGTCAAGGTTTTGGTATAACTCTTATCAGAAGGTCTACATTTTGTTGTTTTGTAGATGCCTTTTTAACCGTAAAAGGTTTACTTAAATACATCTCTAACCTTACTCAAAACACATAGTTGCTCTTCATGTGCTAGACATTCAGCTTATGCTTATTCTTCACTTTATACAATAGATTTGTAGTACAACATTCACCGACATTGAACTTACCACACAGATGACGCCATCGGCACTCGAGTTTGACTGCGATTTCTGAGCCTGCAACAGAAGGATACAATCAAACATCTCAACCTACAATCAAGCTTATATCTGCAAATGGCAGTCGGGTTATACGTTACTGAAGTTTCAAGGTCGAGAGTCTGAAGTGTGCATGTTACATCACAAAACAGAGACTGTCAGCAGAGAATCAGAAGCAATTCATTTGCTTTGTTCAACAATCAATGCAGCAATATAATTTTAATTAGACTGAAAATATTCTGTCAATGTGTTTTCACAACAGGTGAAAACACACGGATCGGTGTTCAAACACTGTGACTGTGACTAAACTTCAAACAACTATCACATTCATTCTGTGCATTTATGAAAGCTCGGTGCTGCTCTGATCATAAAAACAGATTGGAACCTGAAGCTGAATTGGAAAAATCTACAGTAACCTTGCAGAGTTTACGCTGAGAGCCTGTTAAACTTTTAAAGCCTCTGATATTTACACAAGAAGAACGAGAGTGAGCGCAGGGGGACAGTCAAACCCCCACTCTGATTTGATCTCAGATTTATCATTCAGCAGCTGTCACACACTCAAATACACTGCCTTTGAGTCCCAGTCTGTCACACACACACACAAACGCTTTCACCATGTGCGTAAATGAAGGTTAGGGACTGTTCTGTGATGACAACCATGACGGATAATTTGAAGGCTTAACTTTTTTTCATGATTATTACGAGAGTACTATTAAAATTACAGCATACGTAGATATCATACCAAACGCAGAAATGCTCTGTGATGCAGAATGCAACTCTGTGGTTGAGCTCAGCCAACCATGACCATCCAGTTTTTCAACAAAATGCTTGCTGGGTTACTTAATTACTACTTAATAACTGTGTCAGCTAATATTAGTGTCTTTCATTTTTTATTTAGGAAAAAATGTAGAAATGTATTTGTATTTTGTTAAACAGTGTTGATTATATCTAACAATATATCATACAATCACATAAGGCAAAGGTACTAAACTAGAAATTGCTTTTTACATCTCTAGCTGGTATTTCAATCATACAAAAACATACAAAATACAGTCCTGATCAAAAGGGACGGTCGGTTTAATTGGAAATAACTTTTGTCATATCTAAGAGATCATCTTTAAAGTAAAGAAGCAGCTTCATTATGACAACTGTGGTTTCAGTGTTGAAGTTAACCACCAGAGCCCAGAACTTAACATTACTGAAGGTTATTGTGGCATCATCTTGACAGAAAACAGAACAAAAAGTCAGCAAACATCCAAAGACTGGGAGTTTGAAGTCTAGAATCCAAAATTCAAATAGAACAGAAACTAATGCGCCGCAACCAGCGTTGGAACATACATCAAAACCTCTGAGTTCACTTTGCACGAGATAACTGTGAACAGGGAATACAAAAGAACATATTTAACTGTGTTGAATTCAGCGTTACTCGGCACAGTACATGAAAAAAATATATAATGGAAAAAAAGAGCAGCAATGGAAAAAAAGAAACATATATAACATCGTGACAATCATGTCCTCTGGGTCTAAGCTCTTCAGGCAAATTTCTAAACAGATTAGAAGTGATTACCACTTTTGCTGATTGCAAGCCCACCATGAGCTGATTTACTGATTGGCAGTGTAGACCTTGTAATCAGCATGTGAACATCTTGTATTTTTGTTGTGCATTTGGTGAATTAAGCAGCTGGTTATGAGTTTGCTACCTGTTTTTCTTTTCTACCTCCAAGAAAAGAAACTTTATTTTTCTCTTTTCTTCTAATGACCTGCACACTGAATATATGTATTGAGGATGGATGCTGTAAGTGAAACGCCTGTGTGTATACAGGAAGTAGGTGTGACAGCATAATAAATGGCTCCTGTATACAGTATAGTGAATTCAGGCCAAAAATAGGGACGCACAGAATGTAGCAGGCATAGTATTATAGAAAGTGAGAATGTGTATTTTGTTATTATACCCATGCTTCAGCGCTAAAGTGGGAAAAAAAAGGGTTGGGTGGAATGATGTCTATAAATCATGGTGTATTTGCAGGCCTCTGCACAACGACCCAAACAGCAGAACAAGCTGAGATTTTAAAGCATTGTCAAGGAAAAAATAACAACACAATGACTAAGCACAACTTGCTTAGTCATTGTGGGGTTGTGTTTCCTGATTAAGGCCCATCTGTGTTTACCGCCATTGTGCTAAACGTTTCCCCATCTCATCACTGAAAGAGACGATAAAGTTTTACAGCTTGTTGCTGAAGTTTCGAATCCCGAGGGCACCGAGTGTTTCGCTGCAAAACGTTGGAAAAGCTTAATCATGTGAATGTGAACCTTACATCGCACATAGATGTAGGCTTCCATCTGCCACTTTATTGCTTTTATGATTGCAACATCTTCATGATGACTAACAAATTCAGCAATTTAGATGCAGATATTTGTAAGATTTGCATTGTTGCAACTGTGAATATTAGTCATTCGTGTCTTTATAAGATTTTCTGGTGATGTTAAAAGTGTAATGTAATAATAATTGTGATTTAAAACTGACAAACATAGCAATTGAAACACATTTATTGCCTTAGCTTCCTCTTGGACTTTTGAGCCATTTAGAGTTTTCGTCTTCTTTTACAAAGACATCAAGTCCGTTAACAAATATGTGCATGGGTGGAGGTCAGTGAATTCAAATACAAATCGCTGTTCTTTGTTTTGTTTTTCTGATTTACTTCCCTGTTTGGAAAAGTCACATTAGCATGTAGAACATTTCCATATTTGTCCAGGGTACTTCCTGTCTGCTTTGGAGTCAACTATATTTATAACAACAAAAAAGAAAAAAAGAGAAATCAGGCTGACAAAGCCCTGCGGTTTTTAAATGTGTGCTGATCTGCACACATTTATGTGTATGTGTTTCTCTGAACATGTGTGTAAATTTTAGCCCTTTTGTGTGAGGAAAGAAGAAACGCGGCAATTCTAGTATCTTAATTTCCTGTAAAAACTAAAGAGGATGAAAGCGTCTTCACATTACCGCCAAAACAAAGACACACAGTGGGGAAATTAAACAGAGAGGAAAGTACCCTCTCCAGCACAAGAAACGAAGACAAGAAAAAGGAAGCTGGGTCTCTTCTAATTCAGCTGGCAGCTTGAGAAAAACACTGTTCAGCCACATGTTTGAACATTTTATAAAGGAGCCAAGTTCGATTTATAGACACTGATAATTTGAAAGGTCTCAGGCTGGTTATTCTCCAGCCCCTAAAAATATAGATCTCACTGGGAGGTGAGGAGCTTTCAGCTTTTAACACCTTCAACATTTTTTCTCTCCACTTTAATTTTTTTCGTCTTTCAAGCCGGGGTAAATGCACTTCAGATCTGCCAGATTCTCACTGGCTGAAACTGGAAAGGTTTTGAGTCAGTGTTTAATGGTGATTGTTCTGCATGTTTGTGCGTCTGTGTGTGTGTTTGTACAGGAGAGAGATCAGTGAGGAGAGTAGAGTGAGTTTTCTTGACAGGCCTGTCCCCCGAGTGTGTCATTTCAACAGCATCGTCCGCATTGATGCTTACATACACACACACATTTAAAAAAAAAAATAAAAAAAAAAATCACACACATACATGCAACAGCACTCGAATATACCCCCCACACACACACACACACACACACGGACACAACAACTCTCTCATTAACTTGTATTTGACGTGGTATCAGAGCAGTGCCAACAGCACACACGCATCAGTACACTACCAAAGCTCATTATCAGTGCAGACTGGGTGTTTGTGTGAGTGCGCTTGCCTTTGTGTGGATTTGTGTGAACAGGCTTGAGTGTGTAATTGCATCTATCTAGAATATCTGTCTGTTAACTTAACTTGCAGGGCTTCATGGCTGCTTATACTGTCTGTGCCTACGTGCATACAGTACAACCTTCCTCACCCACATACATATTATATGTTGCAGCTATCACTTTCACATAGATTAAAAGCTATGCTATTCTCATACTGAGTAAGTAATGTGGAGAACGGCCCAGCATAGCCAGCTACATTGCTACTAAGACACTTTGAAGTGTTGGTGTGGCGCTCGGTAACATCACCTCAGAACCACATTACTGGTTGATTCTTCTCTACATCACTGAAAGCAGCCACTACTGATTTGTCCTGCAGCAACAAGTGTTGTTCAGTGTCAGGTTTAGCTCTTAGCAGACTTTTTCACCTTCTAACCTCTGATATACATACAGCAGACCTTTGTAGGACTTTGAGCACAATGGTATGTAAGCCAGGTTTGCAAAGTCATCCTTTGTCATTCTGGTACATCACTGTAATGCCAGCCCACATCAGATCACCAAGCAACTGGCCGATTTTATAAATGGCATGCTATTTGTGCATCTGCACGCCACTTTGCAACTTGCTCAACTTCCTTCATGCAGTCAGTCATAGTTTGTCTAAATGTGCGTCTGTAGTTTCATAAAAATCAAAAAGATTAAACATAGAAAATATACACAGAACTAAAAGTAAAACTAGCTAAAAGCAAAAAATGGTAAATTTTCATAATTATTACTTTTATTAATGAATTTTTAATGTCACAGTTGTTCTGCCTTCAGTCAGGTGCCCAGTTTTCCATGATTAATGCAGCTCTGGCTTCAGTGTTGTGCTAATTAATATTTTAAATATTTAAATAAAACATGTTTGGTAGGTTAATTAAATTCTAAATTGGCTGAAGATGTTAATAAGTAATGAATGTTTGTCAGTCTTGCTTTATCAGCCATGTGATAGACTGGCAACCTGTCCAGGACGTACCCTGCCCTGACTCTATAACGCTGAACAGTCACGGGTTCAGAGTCCCCCGTGACTCTGAACTCCATAACTGGTTGATTAAATGGATTAGTAACATAAATAATCGATTTTGTTTCTAAAAAGAAATAGGTGATTTCAAATGACAAGGCTACATAGATCTTATGTTATCACTCTTTATTTTGGCCGGTTTGTCGTGGGTTTAAAACCCTCAGCTTTACTACTGTGGTGCACTCTTACTACACCCATCAAACAGTAAAAAGCTGCAATAAACTCGGCACCAAACTGCAACCAAAGTGCTGACTTAAATCGCTAAAGACCCAGTCATTTCCCTCAGAAGATGGAGGATCTCAAAGGAGGCTTAAATTTATCAATCAATCAATCAATCTTTATTTATAAAGCACTTTTCATACAGAAAAAATGTAGCACAAAGTGCTTTACATAGTTAAAAGCAGCCCACCCCACCCTCCAACTCACTCCCCACACTCTCAATACACATATATCCCCCCACCCCCACCCACACACACATACACACACGCGCACACTTAAAGAGTAAAAATTGGGCTGGGCTCGCATGAGCCAAGTGAGGAAACACTATAACAGGGAGCCGGTCACAGACCGCAGCCTCCAGGCTGGGCACACAGCAGGAGGGAGGCCAAGGAGCCCCCAACCAGGCTGAGAGGACCCCAGAGACCAGCAGCCACGGTCAATCACAGCCCCGGTGCAGAGAGCGCCCTCCGAGGAAACACTGGAGATATGACACAATACGATATATACAGGGTAAAATGATAAAATAAATAACAGGATACAATATAAATATAAATATAAATATAAATAGAGTAAGAAGATTAAAAAATGAATAAGAATAAAATCAATAAATATTAGGTAAATCCTAAATTAATAATAGAATAACAGGATAGAATAAATAAGCATAAAAAATAAATAAACGCTAAGTAAAAGCTAAATTAAAAAGGTGGGTCTTGAGCCTGTTCTTAAAAACATGTACGTTCTCTGCGGCCCTGAGCTCCTCCGGCAGGCTGTTCCACAGACGAGGACCATACCACTGAAAAGCTGCCTCTCCGTGAGTATGTGTCCTGACTTTAGGGACAATCAAAAGGCCAGTACCAGAGGACCTCAGGGTCCGCGAGGGTTCGTATGGTAAAAGCAGATCTGAGAGATAAGAAGGCCCAAGACCATTAAGACATTTAAAAACCAATAAAAGAACTTTAAAATCGATCCTGAAACACACGGCGAGCCAGTGCAGCGATTCTAAAACCGGTGTAATGTGGGCCCGCCCTCTGGTCTTCGTCAGCACACGAGCTGCCGAGTTTTGCAAGAGTTGTAAAGTTGAAATATTCTTCTTAGGAAGACCAGAGAGCAGGGCAGTAATCAATGCGACTGGTAATAAAAGCATGCATCAGCATCTCCGTGTTGGCCCGAGAGAGAATAGGGCGGACTCTGGCTATATTTTTTAGATGATAAAATCCAATTTTAGTTACATGTTTAACATGTGGGATAAAACCAAGCTCAGAGTCAAAAATAACACCCAGGTTTTTCACTTGTAGCAAAGGACATAGTGAAAATGCCTCTAATTTAGACAAGAGTTTCTCTCTCTGAGCCTCAGGACCGACAATTAAAACTTCAGTTTTGTCCTGGTTAAGCTGTAAAAAGTTTTCTGCCATCCAAGATCTTATATCCAAGATACAGTTAAAAAGGGCATCCATTGGTCTGGTGTCATCAGGAGACACGGAGATGTACAGCTGCGTGTCATCAGCGTCATCAGTTCACTCCATGCCTCCTGATGACACTGCCGAGAGGCAGCATATACAAATTAAAAAGTACAGGGCCTAGAACCGACCCTTGAGGCACACCACATGTCATTCTATGGATCTTAGAGGAGCATGTATCCATACTCACCATAAAAGTTCTGTCAGAGAGATATGAAGTGAACCAGTTGTGTACAGCACCAGAGAGGCCCACCATGTGTTTCAGTCTGTTTAAAAGAATAGCGTGGTCTACTGTATCAAAGGCTGCGCTTAGATCCAGTAGCACCAGGACTGAGAGCTTTTGGGAGTCCCAGTTACAGGTGGCCAGAAACACGTCTCCCAGTGAATCGTAATGTTGTGTGTGTCCACTGAATGTGGAAATAAACAGTCTAAAAAACAATGTTAATAATTGTCTAGCACTTGTTCAGTTTCTCTCAAACAGCAGAAAAGAAAAAAAATCAATTTATGAAAGGCTGGGTTCAAAGGCTGGGTTTTTAAAAACGAAGCTAATTTTGTTAAGTGGAGTTTATCCTCTTTAAAATTTGCTGACTGTGGATTTTTAGCGGTATTACAAAGACGAAACCAAAACTATTCAGAAACGGCCGAAACAGGCACATCATGTGCAAATATAAGATAAGGATAAAACATGGTGTTTACAGTTAAGATTTCTATTCACAAAAAGAAACGATTAAGGTGAAAGTGCCTGTAAACAATAACTTTAACAGTTGCATGCTGCTGCATTGGGTTGTGGTATCGTTATATGTGAAACGGCCCTCTGAGGCTCTGTCATCTCTCTGCTGGTAATCACTTTTATTATTATAAAAGTAAAAAAGATTATTCTTTTTAGAATATTAATTAGAGAGAGAGAAATGACATTTACCAAAGAGTTGCAGATTATCAGGTCAGATAAAAAAGAAGGAAACTTTAATACCTTTTAGAAAAAAAAAGTCCTTTTTTACAAAGTAAAACTATCTTGCACCTGTGCTACATTGACTAGAATCCAGCAAAAATAAATTTGGGGCATGCTGAAGGAGGGTTTCAATCTTGATATGTATAACCTCAAATGTGAGACTCACATGTATGGTGTCATATGGTGTCTAACTGAGAAATAACACCGGGAAAAAGGGAAAAAAAAGGTCTGAGAATCATTTTCTTACAGACTTCAGCAGTCATTTTTTTCCTTCTTATAGTGCTATTTAATTTTCTTTGTGATAGCCTCTATAAAATCCCCCTGAAAACTCCTTGCCGGCTCGCTTTGTGGTAGTTTGCAATTTTTGAGGGGCAGCATTGGAGGCAAAAGATGATGACAGGTTGACCTGCAGGATGACAGCCTTCCCTGCCATCTTCAAAGCCACTGGATAAACCCAGACTAAAAAAAAAAATAGTACCGCTCCTGCAGTGTTGATCTTTGAAAACTAGACACAATAAAAAATGTTGGAGATTGGCTGGATATGTGGGACATCTGGTCAAGCTAACCTGCGTGTGTGACCCACCTGTAGGCTGCCGCAGAAGTGATAGATTGCAGGGTCTGTGTTAATGTGGTTGTCAATGGTGTTGGGGTTGCGTTCACGGTTTCTTTGGTAGGGGGTGGTGATGGAGGTGGTGGTCTGGACGGGGGACATGGGCTGCCACACCCCGACATCAGTTCCATTCCCGAAGGCCTGGATGGCGTTACCTACAAAGGGAAGAAAAGAAATGATTATAGGTTTCCTGTCCAGAAAACCAAATCCAGGTAAGTTAAGTTATTTCATGGCTCAAATGCACGATAATCCCCGTGTTAAAAGTAAAACTGTATTTTGCCCAAACCACAATTATAGGAGAGTTAGTGGGTACTTAAGTTTTGTTATCACTTCCCTCCATTATAAATTCACCACACCGTCAAAAACCTGAGTGCTGATGTGGCTATTTACCATTAGAGTCCATTAGCAACCCTATTAATAGCCTTCTATGGCTTTGATGTAAAACACACACACATGCATATACACACACATCAGAGGGAAGCTGAGCCTTACAGAGCTGCTGTTTGAACGTAATGATATTCTTCCCTCCAACAGTGAATTATGACCCTGAAAACTGTGGTAAAGGAAGGAAGAGCTGATCTGCATAACTGCTCTTTAACCCCACTCAAATATTCATACTTACATGTGCAAAGACACGTGATTATGTCGGTATGATGAACAGCATGCAGTATTTTCATATTGCATGTTCAGGTTTGTTGGTTTCCGCAATTTTCTTTGACAAATCCAACGTCAAAAATTAAAAACGCAGTTGTGAGACAAATTTATATAAATATTAGTGTAAATTATTACTATAATCTGTGTTTAAAATTGATTGCCTACATAGAGCATCAATGCAGAAACGCAGTGTTGCTTTTAGAGGGGAGCTAAAATAAAGTGCTGCAATTAAGTTTAAAATAAAATGTGTTTTATTAGCAGAATAACCTATCAGTCTTTTCTAGCTCTTATTGAGATATATCTGTATTAAAAAAGATCCATCATAATTCATTAATGATAAAAGATCTATATTTGAGAGTAAAAGCAGATTCATGGTTGCAGATTCATGTACCTTAAGGTATAACATGTCATTAACCTGCACCTGCAATAACTTGCAATGCATTAAATACATTAAAAAGATCAGTCAACGTTTGACATTAAAAACTTTGCATAAAGTCCTTAAATACACCCAGCTGGACTTGATAAGTTCATTTGTGAAATGATGTAATGTAACACACAGTAATGTTGTTACTTTGAACATAAAAATGATAAAAAATTAGTATAATGACATTTAGTTGCTGAGTTACAGATGGTGTAGCAGGGGTTTGAGGAGAAATAAGCATACATACATAAAGACAGATATTTTTTGTATTATAGTAAGAAAGCTCATACTGACTAATACATATATGCCTGGTGATTTGCCTTGTATCTGAATATGATGCTGACACCAGTCTATGTTGTTGCTTCTGGAGAAAATGAGGCTTTATTTTCTCCAGTAGTTCAGGAAACATTCACTCCATTAAAGAGAATATGGACACACATCCATAACCAGTTTAAAGGAGGATCTAAAAACCAAGTGAACCTGTTTCAGCCTGCAGACCTGTAAATTTGCTGATTCAATTCCAGGCCTTTGTAGAGTGGCATCCTTTAGACCGGTTGTTTCTTTGCAGGACCAAAGGAGTACCAGCAGCCGTGTTAGCAAAATTAATTTGTGAAAACTGAAGAATGGCTGATATCAGATCTGAGAGAAACAATCCTCGTAGTCTTTTCTGAACACAGCAAGACAGCGTCCCCTAATTCCTGCTGACCCAAATCTACTCGTTTTCTTGTGCAAGAGGAATGATGGGATCCTCGGTGTGTGCCTGGCATCTCAGAAGGTGATAATGTTCTCAAAATGTTTACCTCTGGCTACATGCATTAGAAAAGTCTGGATTTTAAGGATATTTTATGGAATTTTATGCAATCAGATTTTGTTCTGATCTGTTTGAATAGTCCATGTAAAGAAAATGGTGAAAGATAAATGACTTAGATTTAAACAGAGTTTCTTTGAAGCCACTGAACAAATCACGATCTTCCGCTCCTCTGGTCTTTCCTTTCCTTCCTCCTGAGAAACTGATTTCCAATTGAACTCCCCATGACCTAGAAAGAACCTTTGAGTTAGTTCCAGTCTGCAGATTTAATAAATGTGACTAGTAATCTCGAACTAAGCAAACCCAGAGGCTTCTTCACTTGATGTGCCTTGCCAAAGTGAGCTCTGGTAAGAGAAAGATCTCTGACACAGACAAACAGCATAATGTTTTCATTAATGTAGATTCTATAGAACTTTATTGTGAAGGTCGTTGTTGTGATTTGGCACAACTTAAACAAAACTACTTTTTTGTTTAGTTTAGTTTTATCAGTGTAGAAATCACATATAATGGCAGAAAAAAAAAAGGCTATGATTGTGTTTTATTTATTATTAGCTATAACAATAGACATGCCTTTTCTGTGTGTACCTTTCATTTTGACAGTGACAATGCAAAATATTATTCCCTCAACATATTTGTTTAACATTTCACAAGAGATGCGGTAGCTGAAGAAATTGGCTGGCATTAATTTTTGGAGATGCAATATTCAGCACAAAACAAGTAATTTTTGTCAATATCCTGCAGCCCTGATGCGTGCGGCTCTGCTCAAGCACGTGAATATTTAATTTTTCGCCGATGTGTGTGTATGCGATTGCGTAGCTGGTAGCTTTGTGTCGAGACAGCAGAAGGCTGATGGGGATATTGGAGGTGTTGATGGGCTCTTTTTTGTCTCTTCTTGTCTGTCACCTAAGGCCTAATTACAAAACACACTCGCAGCACAGTGAGCGTGCGTGAAAAACAGGTTACATGTCAAATTAAGGCACAGGACATCAGACCTGCATGTGTGCTCACTCCACTCCTTATTTTTAGATATACAATGTTTTGGAACCTGTGTTTTTTCCTGGCTCCTCTCTGACATTTCCACTCATTTGAAGTGTTTTTGGCAAGGTGACGTCTTTGACTAATTATTCAGCATGCTATTGTAGAAAGAAATAAAAACTTTGTTCAGAGATTAAAAAAAGGATTATTGATATTTCCTTAGTTTCTGTTGGAAGAGCTCACATACAAATATCTGTAAATATATCTACAGTTACAACAGTGGATGCGCATATTAAACATGACCACAGTTTTAAATATTGAGGTCAGTATGTGTATAAGCCAAATACTAAGGATTCGAGTTTTTTTTTTCCATTTTAAAATCACACTAAGAGCAGAATTTCATACTATAGTCATTTTAAACATTAGTGCAAAAGTAGCACTAAAACAGTTTCTTTCAGTCAGAAGATCAAGTGAGTGGCTGCACAAGGAAAAGGAACCAATGATGATTTTGATGTGTGCATCATGCAAAGTCACTCTCGTGAGTTGGCAATGAGGATAATAGTTCCCATTCTCAAAATTAGACAACAACCAAAACTGAAAAACAAAATACAAGCTAATCTTCTCTAAAACATTATAAATGCAAATACAGCTAGGTGTTATGCAAATTATTTTTGCAAAATACCACATTTTAAGCATCAGAGCTGTTTGCTTACCAGCATTTGCAAAATAGCAGTTAATCAATATTTGATCTTCTTATCTTGAATGAAAAACAAAACCTTTGTACTTATGTAAAATAGCATGTGTAGCTTTCATTGTGAGTGAAAATGTCATCAGCACACTAACCAACATGAGCATATTATTCACTAAGGTGACACTGGGCAAGTTCACACTCGTACCTCTGACATTCACACACTACCACACAATTTCTATGGTTTCACTTCACTTCCTACAGATTAAACTTCAAGAAGAGAAAGTATTATGTTAAGGGCAAAGCATCAATCCTTGAGCATATTTGCATAATAAACCTAAAGACACTGAGCCTTTGGCTTTCCTCAACACATTTGATACAGAGCTAATGGAAGTCCTGCTACTATTTACTCAGGATACATAAAAATGACTCTGTGGCATACCAAACAAAATATATTCAGTACATTAGTTTTCAGATACTGTTGACTGTATGAGATTTATGTGGCCAGTTTGATGTCACCCGCTGGTTTTGGACTCCACATTCTAAAGTTTCAGCATCAGCCTTTAATATGCACCCATGCTGTTTTTCTGAAAAGAAAAATGGCCGCAGTGAGAACGTAGAGCGTTAAATTATCAGCTAAAGCTAGAAAGCAGGGTTGTTAAGCATGTCTGCCAATTAGTGCAAAGTAACAAACTAAACAGGTTAATCAAAAAGAAATTCACAGACTTTTTGAGTGGGCTACACCAGCGGTCTCCAACCTTTTTTGCGCCACGGACCGGTTTATGCCCGACAATATTTTCACGGACCGGCCTTTAAGGTGTCGCGGATGAATACAACAAAATAAAACTAGTACCGGTACCGAAAAAAGAAGATTTATTCATAACACACGTGAAAAGACCCAGGAAAACCAAGTTAATGATAAAAACGATAACAAAATAACGCTGAAAACCGATAAAAACTATACATTTCACACCTGAGCCTCAACTCTCACGGCCCGGTACCAAACGACTCACGGACCGGTACCGGTCCAAGGCCCGGGGGTTGGGGACCGCTGGGCTACACCACACAGAAAACCATATTATACCTGATATAACTTCATTAATAAAAAACGACTAAAACCACAAACACAAGACGTCCAGTTCAGTGACTCAAACAGGCAGAACTGATGACTAGTAAACAGCAAACAGCCACGTGCATAACTCCAGTATCCAAATGAATGAGTCAAATTAAACCAGAAGCCTTTTTATATACACTAAGTAGCAAATCTCTTTCAAATAAACCTTTCTAAAACACTAGGACAAACAATGATTTAACCTTCATCAATGCAAACGGCAATGTGCACTAGAACAAACATGATATCATCTTCCCACTGCAGCAGATATTGGTGTTAGTAGTATGAGTTTGCCTCATGCAGATGTCTACATTACCACTTTATCTCACTTTACATGTACATGGATTGTTGTAATACTAGAATTATGTTGGACGGCGTGACCTTTGCATATGCAGGAAACAGGGAGGAATTACACTAAAAAAGCTTTGAATATATTAAAGTTACAGTGTCTCCTTGAGAATATTAAAGCAGCGGATCCGAACCTGGGGGTGGGTCACACAATAACCGAGAAGCTGTATAAAAAAATTACAGGATAGGAATGCAGAAGGAGGTGTGTGCTATAATCAACCTCAATACTCTGAAAGCTCACACAACAAAACATACACATTTAAGGAAGTCAGAAGCTTAGAAAGATACAAACCAATGTAATGCTCAAAAAATCCTCTTTTCTGTCTTTTTGTCTAGTCTTTGTCCTTCCTCAAGTTACTTTCTAGCCATGACCCTGTAGCTGGTGTGTGTCAAGATTGTCAGAGTTGTCAGTTCCACTTACTGCTGAGCAAGCCTAATGAGAGCAGAAGGAGGGAAGGCATGAAAGGATGGAGATGGAGACAAAGAGTTGGGATGAGCAGACAGAAGTGGGATGAAGCATGAGCTGGAGAACAAGGGAAAAAGAAAGGGTTGTAATGGGAAAAATAAGGGAGCAGTGAAGAAAAAGGGAGAACTGAGACTAATAATGAAGAGTCAGAGGAGGCGTATTCCTTCTCACTTTGAACTATGTTCAACTTCCCCAGTGAATAAAAGCAAATAGTAGATATAGAGGGTGTGTTTTAACCCACGTTAACCCCCTTTGATCTTGGAAATCTCACAATGACACTTGAACACACAAAATCATGCCAGCACGCAGAAGCAAAGACTTACAATACGTTTCATGTCTCCCACGTGCACTAACTGGGTGCAGACTCACACACACGCACGCCGACTGCAGCGGCCCTTATTATCTAGAGCAGAGGAACCTTGTTAACCCTGACTGGTAAAAAGACAACGGAGTAGAGAAAACAAGAAGAGGGAGGGGAAAAAGATAATAGAAGAGGAGAAGACAAATGAGAGCGTGAAAGAGCGAAGAGTTGGTGAAAACGAGGCTGCCTCTTGTTGGTGTTTTCTCATCTGCTAACTGCCATTCTGACAGAGGAAAATCAAACCACCCACTCTGCTCATGTAGAGCCGAACAACCGGCACCAACTCATTCCCCTCATTGTGACTACAGCTCATTGTCTTCAATGCACACCACTTTCTACAGCACACACCCACGCATGAACACCCTGCCCAATTGACTGCTTGCCACACGGGTCTCGTGGTTGATTGCTTCATCAATCGAATACTGAATTTTTAATTAAGGTGACTGTACATCTTGACAGCTGCAAATAGATAGTGGTCAATCTGTGCTATGTTGCACAAAACTAATTCATCATTCAGACCAACTTTCACCCAGTGACAGGTTAAAGCTGCTTGTACCACAGCAACGTGAACAAGATTTCAAAGAAGCTGCAAGTAGTGTTAACTCATTCAAATTGCCACTCGAGGCTTTTTCAGGAAAAAACAAAAAACACTGTACATTACACTGTACATCAGGATCAAGCTGGTGAATACAGAGGGACCTTCAGCAGCTGATAAGACAGATATTCTCACTGGGAGTTGGCAGAGATTAGAAAAAGAACTGAAGGACAGTTAAATATTGAATTAATATCTACCCTGTGACCAGAAACACAGCTAATGGCAGCGTATGAGATGTGATTATAAAGTTACGCAATTCCGCCCAGGAAACATAACTTTCAAATCCTCCTGGTGCACTGCTGGACCACGTCAACAATGGCTGCTATTTGTAAATGCCACTGACATAGTCCTGAAAAATGTACTTGTATGGGAATTTTAATGAACCTCCACTTCTCTTTCAAAGGAACCCCACTTTTATACCGAGGCTCATTCACCAGTGATGATGAGAGCTGGGTTACCATCTACAACACAGTGGGAGTAAGTACCATGTTTAGCATTTATAGAGTTCAACATTCTTATCGTAAAGCTGACATGACAGCCGTCTGATGGACTGGCTACTTGTCAGGATGTACTCAGCCTCTTGCCCTGTTAGAGTTGGGATAGGTTCTTAACCTACTCTGAACTATATAAGCAATGCAGAGGCCGCATTACTGAAACAACAACCAAGTTTTATTTTGATATGTTTAATTTTTTTTTTCAATCACATAAATAACAATTTGCAATTTTAACTGATTTTTGCTTGCCGACATAATTTAAACCAAAATGCCAATTAAAAGTGTCTTAAAGTAAAATTCCAGAGCGCAAGAAAAGCTGGAATCTTTAATAGGAGATTTGTTTTTATCAACACTTAACCCATGTCATACCAGCTACCACACATCAGAAGCTACATTAAACATACTTTATAACTAAAGCAGGAGATGGCAGCGACACTGTCTCATCAAAATCTTTGCTGATTAAATGAAAACATTTTCCAATTTTAAGTTCACCTGATTGTTTTCACCTGTTTTCTGCTCCCTCCTGGTTCTTGTTGAGTTATTAGTCCACTGTGTGTCTGTTCCTGCATTCCTTTTTCCTGAGTCAGCTGTTATGCTTCCCCTTATGATGCTGCCCTGCCTTGCTCTCCCTCTCTCTTGAAATACGGTGACACCATGAGGATAAACATTTGTTTAAGACTCTGCATTTTGAAGCCTCTGCATGCCATGTCAGTTTTTTGGAATAGCATTTGAACGAGAGGGTTGCATGCCAAGTTCCCAAGTAAAGCTATTATTGTTAGTTGCATTATACCTATGACGGCACACTCAAGCACACATATCTGGCAATTAGTGCAAAATAGCAAACCAATGAAATATTACAATTTCTCTCACAAAAACTGAAGCATAAAAGTGACAACAGCATCTAAAACGCTCTAAAAGGAACCACAGAATGGTCAAGTGGTTCGGGCTCAGGAAAGAGGAAGCCTAGCAGAGAGCTGCCACCTACACCTGCCTGGATCAAGACACCTGTAATCCAAAACCAACCACTTTCACAACTCAAGTGTCTAGAGGGATTTTAAAAACATCTACACACCATTAGGCCAAACCCATATTTTAGAACCAGCTGTAAAGGTGCTTTTTAATATTGCTAAGATGGGTATTTAACCTCCTAAGACCCAAACTCTTCCACGACATGCATTTTTTAATTTCTCTTTGATATTTGGGCATATTGGGACCCGATGAAAGTAAAAACAAAGAATTACCAGGTTTTTCTTTTTAACCTGATTTTTGTTTCTAAGATAAATGAGAGCCACAATGAGGATATTCGTTTAAAATTTCGATAGATCAGTGGCAGTATGTCCTCATAAGTGGATATCAGGCCCTTGTAGAGCAAAAGTGAGTATTTTGGGCTAAATAACCCAAAATGTGATGTCCATATATGTGGACGCCAGGTCCTAGGAGGTTAAACATGGGAATGTGTGGAAATGTACTCACTTTTAGAGCCAACCTCAAGTGGCTGCTACAGAAACTGCAGTCTACAGTTCCACACTGCCTTCATTTTCCAGCTGCTCGGTGAGCACATATGCTCATCCAGCATGGGTGTCCTTGAGGGAGATTGTCTTCCAGCTGTGACCCTGTCTCCTGACCTCCGTAGAGGAATCAATTAGGAATCACATTACACTTAAACTGTGTTGGGGAGGAAAGAAGCAGCTGACTGCCACTGAGTGTAGTATCAAAACAGAAGGAGCAGAACCAGTTTAGATTACAAGGAAACTCAAAGTGAGGCTGGCTTACATGTGCACAGACCCATATTAATCTGGTTAGAAACAGGTGTGTTTACACTGAATGTATGTGGAAGAGAGAGAGAGAGAGCGCGAGAGAGAGAGAGAGAGAGAGAGAGAGAGAGAGAGAGAGCGCGAGAGAGTTTTCCCGTCTCCATGAGTTTGAAGACATTTTTAAGACTCCAAAAGTGGTTTTAGTGTCAAGGTTACAATTAGGCTATGGTTCCATTTATGCTAAGGGTTAGTGTTAGGCATTCATTTTCGATGCTTAGGGTTAGGGTCAGCAGCTAGGGAAATCATTTTGTCAATTAAATGTCCCCACTAAGATATGAAAACACGACTGTGTGTGCGTGTGTGTGCGTATGTGTGACTTCAAGTAGGTTTGTTAATTAAAGTCATTGCGTAAGAGGGTTTAGATGGAAAAGCCTCTTTCTGTCAAAGATCTGGAGCAGGAGTTCTGCTACACATTGAGACACTCTGGTGCAATATGACTGGCTTTTTTTCTGTTATGCTGCTGGATAACAATGCAAGCATGGCAATGGGATATATTTGGTAAGAAGGAGATACTGGAAAGAAAGGAAGGGATAAAAGTGCACAACAAGAATATGACCAGCAGAGCAGAGTAGGTGAAAACAGACAGACACAGAACTCAGAAGAGCTGCTAAGACTAATCCACAGTCAAAAAAGAAAATTGAACAGATAACAGCTGGTCAAAGTAGAGCAGCACAAGAGGAAAACTTACGTAGGCAGGTGTTCTCTGTGAAGAACTCAGTGAATTTGTCACACTCATCCTTATTGTTGCCGCTGTTGCTGCAGTCGCAGTAGGGAGAGACACTGATTTTGGGTGAGCGCAGGTAGTTGGGAGTCATGACAGTACCTGGAGAAAGATGATAGAATGATTCACTGATTATTTTCAGTAACAAATGTGGTCCATAAACAAGGCTTTATTTATTGTAAACTGTTCAACCCTGAATGAGCTGCTAACTACCAATTAAAAAAATAAAATAAAATAAAAATTTAAAGCCTTCAAAATATCAGGTATCATCATCGTGCTGTGTTGATGATAAATGTTTAGCAGTGATGATTTTTATTTTCTACAAGAGAAACGCAGTCTGGTGGAGTTTCTCCAGGAAGCAGAATGCAGAGAAGGTGGAGTGAAGAATAGGCTCTCTCTCTGCGAGGGAAAGTAAATAGCTTCAGTCAGTGATTTCTCACTCCCCCAATGGATTGTTCCCTTGTGCTGGCTGCAGTCCAGAACAGGCCATTTTGTTTTGCAGTAGGCAGAATGAATTGGCGCTGTGTGGACAGTGTGTGTATGCGTGGTCAGGTTTGGCGACTTGAGAGGACCAAATCTCGAGTGTTGCAGTAACTGTTGTCGGGAAGAAATCAAGAGTGGGATTGGTCCACGTTGTGAGTGAGATAGCTACAAAAAATTACAGCTTGGTTCTTCATGTCAAAGCTGTGTTGCATTTTTAACAATGTCTTAAGCAAATTCTCATATTTCAAGATCTTAGAAACTGCAGTTAATCCCGAGTCAAACCTGACCGGTCACAATCGAGCGAACTCACCAATCAGACCCGAGTAGGCAAGGAGGCAGTCTGCATAGTTCTCCTTCAGGCAGCCTGACAGCGAGCGGGGCTCCGGCTGGCAGTTGACAAAGAAGTCAGCGAGTCGTGACCTAAAACACACACAGATCAAAAACTATTTTGTGATTATAGCTCCAGCAGATAAGTTCAGACGGCCAATGCGACTGTAAATGAGCAGCAAAAGGCCCGGTTGAAATTAGTGTCCACTGGAAGTCATTTGTCTCAATTCAATTAGCCTTCTTAATGGCTGACTTCAGTGCAGTAAGATGACCCTTTATGCTGCGGCTGGTTTGTATCCTGGAATGAATGAAGCTACGGACTATTCTCCGCCCAGTCTGTTCTGTTTCATTTACCTCCTTCAAAAATGTTTGTTTACACTTTTGCACCAGGTGCAGTGGTTTGTGAAATTGAAATGGTGTTTGTAGTCCCAAGGAATTCACAATTTGAAGTGAAATTACGTGTGATATAGTGGCTCTTTGACACAAAGCTAACACCTTCAGACTCAAACATCTTTAACCATCTTGGTGTGTTGGTGCAGTTTCGGCTATAAATCCTCTCACTACTGTTAAAACGTCAAACTAAGCTGAGACATTTCCCAACACGGTCAGAACAGGTCAGAAAATCAAAAGTTACTTGCACAAAACAGCAGATGTTACTGGATAGATTTTCACATTTTTTGTACATTTTTTTAAAGTAAGTATGACACATTTTTTCCAAATGCTTTTTTTTTGGTAAAATACTGTTAAATGGTTTTAAATGTCAGTAAAAAGCTTCGCATAGCTTGTGTTCCTGCACTGTTGCTGAGTAAAAGCAACAACAATAGCCAAAACTGCACATTAAATTCAAAGGTGGTATGCTGAATGTGCAATAATTGGTCTCCACCAACTACTCTTGCTTAATTTGTGTGCGTGTTTGTTAGGACTTGTTTAATACCTGTAGTGACTTCGAAGGAATTTAAAAACTGGACACCAAAGATCGTCTTTAGTTCAATATTTGATCAAATGTGAAATATATTCAGTGGTGTTCTGTTTGATTTACTAGGAACAAAAAAGTCATTGAAGAATATTACAATGCCCAAGTAAAGTTGATCTTTGTAATATAAGTGAGTTTGACCAAGTTCATGCCAAACATGAGATGTTAGGTTTTCAAGGACTTGATGGACAGCCTGGGTTGTATTCATCAAATTCAAAATGAGCATGTTTAGTATTTCTCATTTTCAGCATTTAAGATGCTCTTTATACTAGTTTCACGCATCCAGATACAGTTCAAATGATTTGCAAAGCAGTGTATCCTTTTTCCTCCCTCTCTCTCTTTTGTTCCTGTTAGTTTTTTTGGGCAGCACGGTGGCACGGTGGTTAGCACTGTTGCCGCACAGCAAGAAGGTCCTGAGTTCAATTCCACCATCAGACCGGGGTCTTTCTGTGTGGAGTTTGCATGTTCTCCCCGTGTTTGCGTGGGTTCTCTCCGGGTACTCCGGCTTCCTCCCACCGTCCAAAGACATGCAGCTTGTGGGGATAGGTTAATTGATTAATCCAAATTGTCACTAGGTGTGAATGTGAGTGTGAATGGTTGTTTGTCCCTGTGTGTTGGCCCTGCGACAGACTGTCCAGGGTGTACCCCGCCTTTCGCCCTATGACAGCTGGGATAGGCTCCAGCGACCCTGAAAAGGACAAGCGGAAGCGAATGGATGGATGGATGGATGGATGGATAGTTTTTTTGGACATGGGGTTGTATCTGCACTTGCAGTGTGATCCGTCTTATCACACCAATCTGGTGCAGAGCTGAGCAGTGCCTGGCGAGAGCTGTCAACAGCAGCCAGCATACTACACCTGACATATGGTGAGGGAACTTGTGGAAATGCATGGCTTTAATCTGTCTGTGCTAACTGACAAATGGACCGGGAGGAAGCCGTGCTGCAGTGAGACCTGTTGTTCAAGCCCTGAGCATATGTGTGATGGATTGAGTGTATGGAGGGTTGAAGCTGCCAAAATCAAAAATGAAGAAAAAAAGATAAATGACTGAATATGTAAATATGTTACAACAACATAAAAATAAATGCAGCCATTCATTGTGTTTCGTTTTTGATTTACGTTTATCAATATTAATAAAATGACAAGTCAAAGAATTTGAAAAAAAAAAAGTATTTATATATGCATCCTTTTCCTCTGCATCCACCATACTAATGTCCTAAAACCCTCCAAATTCAGTATCTTTCTATATTTCTGTAATCACTTTAAAAAATTACCTTATACAAAAATAAATGCAGAAAATTTACATTGAATTCTTAGTATAATAAACTAAATTCTGGCATCTTCGGTCCTTCATAGGAGAGTTCCATTGGGAGAAAGATGGACGGAAGAAGAGAAACTTGCAGTATAAATTTACTACTGCTGCCTGCTGTTAAGCAGAGACAGAGGGTGAGGCGAGAGGGAGGGAGACCTGAGGCCACAGTCCAAATGGAGCTCATTTATGATGCCTAATGCCTCCATTTAATCCCAGAGACCCACAAGACTGCTGGCTCAAGCCTCCGGAGACTGCATAACCACATATACACACACACTAGTGAGGGCAGTGTCAGATGTCCATCACTGAATTACTCTTTTCTGACTCTTAATGCAGGAACCCTACAGTGTACGTGGGTGTGAGTCTGAGACTTGAGGCATAAAGGCAGACAATTTATTACTGCTGGTGCTACACTGACTACTACACAATGTAAAGAGGTGTCTATGGGGCATGTTAATGCACAAATGTGTTTCACAAAGTGGGGACTTGCCTCAGATTTGCAGACAGAAAGCTTGTCTGCACACTGTAAAGAATTCGATTTTAGGCTCTGTGAGTTAAGATTAGAGTAAAGCCGAGGTCAAAGCATATTTGCCGCAAGCCACTTTCGGTGAAATTTCCCTCTAAGTGAGGACATACAGTTTTTTTATTTAGTTATACTGTTGGAGGTTTTGTTCCATTTCTCTATATAAGGAACGACAGTATGTCAGTGCACTGTGTACAGGCAGCTGCCTTGTTCATCAAAGAGCCAAAACACAAAATGATACTGATCTTTTTTCCAAGCTTGCACATATATAGTGCGTCCTCACCAAACAGAAGGGTAACCCTTAAAAGAGCCATGGTTAGCCTATGGTTTTGACTGATAGGCACAGGATGCTACCACATGATGAAAACTAGTTACACAGTTGATCACAAATCGCTTTTCCTGCATATCCTACATCGTCGATTTGCATCTAATGCCAGCTTAAAAAACACAGTTAATATCCAGAGCACACAGCATTTATCTCAGAAATAAACCATGGCATCACATGGCATCCAAGTTACAGTATATCTGGTACTTATTGACCATATTGACATAAAAAGGGGTTCCTCACTTGCAGATGTAGTTGGTCTTGCAGGATGCCTGCAGCTCCAGACAGTTGGGTTTCTGTTTCTCTTCGTACGAGCAGACAGGAACGATGGTTTGACGTCTCCTTTCAGAGCATGCGGTTTGGTCGCTGAGCGGGCATGAGCAGAATAGCATGCCGTAACTGTGCTTGGGAGGAACCTGTGTGGCAAAAGAAACCACGACATTAAGGATAGAAATTAATTCCTTTATTAAGACCCGCATTATTACTCATATTTTAGCATTATTCTGGGCTACATGTTGTACCGTCTGTGCCTTTAGACACATTTTCTGGATTTCTTTCTTGATTTGGTCTGAAGTAGCTGTTTTCTATTCGTTTTGATGGATTGTTGTTGTTGTTTTTTTTAACTGCTCCTAACTTTATTCAGTATTTATTGGTACAAACTCACCTTGCTGCAGCTCATTTGCAGCAAGATGGTTTAACATCGCTTCAATAAAGCATCAATCAAATCTGACGTTCAAGTTGAAAGAAAATGTAGATGTAACAAATGACAATCGGACCACAATAGGAGAATGTAATGATACTTTAATCTCCAACACAAAGAAAAGCCTAACGCTCAAGGCTCTTTACGCAAAGACATCTCTATTATGATAAAATAAAGAAAAATTATACATCACACAAAGATTAACAATGTCACACTTTCTCTGTAACATTTCTATTTATTCATCTTGTTGCTTTGCAGAAGCAGTGCCAAGTAAAGTTATTCAAAAAGGGGCATCACAGAAGCTGGGTTGTAATTACAATGCTTCACATCATTTTTCACAATATGGAACAGACAGCAAAAACATCTTTTGTGTTTTATGACTGAATCAATGTCAAAGCTTGGCGCTGGAATAGCATACCCTGAACAAAAAGACCCACATGATTATTTATTGTGAGTTTGACAACCCCTCAAACTTATGCACTTCAAAATCGTTCTTTCTTTTGAAGCAGGTCCTTTGTGCTGGACATTCAGCTTTTATCAGATATCAGTCATTTGGAAAACCTCCAGTGTGTGTGTTCTTTTTCTTTCTGTTTGTTTTTTGATAAGCTCGTATCAGAAGTGCCTTGCCTTGTCAAAGAACTGCCGCAGGGCCTTGTGGCACTTCCTCTTGTTGCAGACTTCAGCTGTGGAGACGCGGCTGGTACAGGGGCTGATGTAGGCCGAGCGGTACTTCTTACACGTGTCGTTCAGGTTGCAGGCCTTAGCAGCATTGAGACAGTTGTTCTCTCTGGCCACTGCAGGTTCACCTAGTGACATAAAGGGGAGAGGAGACATTGGGGAGAGGAGAGGATGAAAACAAGAAAGAAGGGTTATAATCACAGAGGTCATCAAGCATGTGATGCTAATGCAAAGCAACCCAGAGATCACTAGAAAAAGCAGAAAGCGCTATCACTGCATAACTTATTGTCACATTCTTCATAAAAGTGACTGTGTGGGAGTGAGAAGGAGGACCCAGGTGCAGACACGGAAGGAGACGGAACTGAGTGTAAACAAAAGGCGAAACGTTTGTTAGGCTGAAAAAACATGAATACGAAAGCAAAGCAAGGCGAACAAGCGGCGAGAACTAAAACTAAAACCTAAACTAGGAGAACTAAACTGAGATAACTATGACATTAGACATGAACAAGATTCTGACCTGAGAAACTATAATGAGGAAGAAACAAGAACATGAAACATAAACATGACCTGAGCAGAATCATGAAACACAGGCACTGACACGGCGTGGTGGGAGGAAACACGGACGACCTGACGAAGACCGAATGAAAACACAGACTAAATACACACAGGAGGTGATCAGGGGAAGTGGAAACACATGGGGAAACAGCTGACTGGAATAAACAAAATGACACTGTGGGGGAAGTAAAACTAAACACATGAAACATGGAAACACCAGACTTTTCAAAACTAAAACAGGAAACAATGAGAAACGTAGACATGACAACACCAGCTAGACACTTGAGACGTAAAACACGTGGCGAGACAAACGCACAGGGATAAGTGAAAGTACAACACTGAGGACAAGACAGACCACATAGAGACAGGAAAGACTCATAACTAAGGAGACACAGAAGAACCTAAACTAGACTTAAAACTCCAGAACTTAACATCCTTTCAACTGAACATAAGAAATCACAAATACAAAAATAAACTCAATATGCTGTGTCACAGACCCAGCCCCTGACACTTATTGTATAATGAACAAAGCATACGAATCCTCTGCATCAAAAACAATCACAACAATGCAATACATCGTCAAATTAAAAGTGAAATGTATTAGCTTATGTAACACAACTGGTTTTCTTTAAGGCCATGTGAGGTGGCTTGTTTTTGGTCAACGAGGTTGTATCCTATCTCAGCTCCACATAAAAACACTTTAATTGTGGACCAAGACAATTAGCCAACTGTTCCAAAATAACTGCATTTTCATCTGGTGTAAGAGCTTACTCAGGCAAACACACATACACAAGCCTGGCCTTTTTAATTTGCTCCAACAACATTTTATGCCATTCAAAGTATATTAATGAGTGAGAATTTCTTCCTTTGGGCAATTGGTGATCTAGCCTAGGTGCCAAATCTATGCTATGTGTATCTATGTGTGGACAAATTAACAGCGACCACAGGCAGGCTAAAGGAGCTTAAACAAAGCTCGGTGCATAAAAGGGCATCAGCTGAGCCAACAGCACGGAGATCAGCTGGAGTGTTGCATAGCTTCCCTCTCTGGGCTGTTGAACTAATAAAGTTCAATTTGTTTGTGGAAAAACTGCATTAGGACATCATATCTTATTTAACTATTAACAATCAATACGTGTATTACACTAGAAATGCAGCATCTAATAAGCTCTATGGAGCACACAGATTACACCTACAGATCATTACAAAACCGAAGCATATCAGCTGCAAAGGTCTCTCAACAAGAGAAGTAACAAAAGACTCAGAGACAATGTAAGAAGCAGAGGGCCGGCAGTCTAATAATGTTTTCTCAAACGAAGCAGATAACCTCAGCAACACATTTTCAACCTACATCGGTGTTTGTGTGCCTTAGTGTTTGCATTTCTGTCTTTGGAAGTGTATGTGTGCATATGCTTATGCTAATTGTACAGAAGACCCCATTTGGAGTCTCACTTTCTGTTTAGCCTGTAACAAACAGTTGCCTTCATCTCCGTGGCCCTGCAGGCTAACAGGCATGCTTTTGTGTATGCAAACAGTCGAGGTTCAGTACTTGTCACAGTCTCCAGTGCAGTGCATCGCCTGCCTGTCAGCCTGCACTAATTGCCAGGGTTGTCCTCAATCCACCATTAATTAACATTTTTATACACCCCCTTAAAATATTTTCTTAGGTTAAAAAAAAGGAACAAAAACAGCATTTTTTTCCTTTATGACAGCGTCAATTAAAATGGGTGCAGCCCAGTGTGATAAACATACCGATGCTGCAGTGGGGGGGGAGTATGGTAAGATCCGTTATCAAGTCGACAAACCCATTGGCTGATGAGTGCCGTGTTGTCCTGAGCAAACTGTGTTAATGAGATTCAACACATCAAGGCGAGGGTGGAGGAAAAAAGAGGGAAGAAGATAAAAGGGACCCAGAGACATGTGGGGATATGAGCTGATAGTCCAGCGAGGTATTAATTGGCGACATGGTGCTGTTTGCTTTACTACAGAGGAGGAGATCCTTGAGGTGAATGCTTCCCAAAACCTCCAGCCGACTCAGAGGAAAACCAGTGCTGACTCACTCATTGCCAGTTTTTACTATTTCTTTGCTTTCATGCCTTCACCTTACCTTTCACCTTTTTCTTCCAACATGGAAAAACAACAAGCTTTTCCATTTACAAGACTTTCCCCCCTCTCTGTTTGACCTGCCTCATTTGGTCCACACCTCCCTCTGTTAGTTTTCAGGCTCATTTGGTGGTATTAATTACAATGTATGCAATTTGTTTTGGTTTGAATGTTTTTGACAATTTTATATTGGAATCAAGTTTAAATTGCTTCATTGATTATTAATTTAGTTTTAATGCTGTGTGTATAAATGTCTAAACTATGAATAGTGTTATTGTACATCATCCTAAACAGGCGCATTCTCTTCTTTGTCTGCTATTAACATGATACTGTAACAACTCATAATAAAATTCTATCCATCCATCCATTCTTATCTGCTTATCCAAACCAGGGTCCCAGGGGTGCTGGAGTCTATCCCAGCTAACATAAGGCAAGAGGTGGGGTACACCCTGGACAGGTTGCCAGTCTGTCACAGGGCTAACACAAAGAGACAGACAACCTTTCACACTCACATTCGCACCTATGGGTAATTTAGAATCACCAGTTAACCTAACTGCATGAAGGAAGCTGGAGTACCTAGAGAGAACCCACAAGGACACTGGGAGAACATGCAAACTCTAAACAGAAAGGCCCAGGAATTTATTTATTTTTTTTATCTTGCTTTTATTACAGAGTGTTTTATGATCTTATTCTTTCTGTTTTATTTGCATAAACAAAGAGCCATGTTTAAGACAAATTTCTATTCAGTTACTGGCTACTGTTTTAACCCTGTCTCAAAGATGACTTCTGTTATAATGATAAGTCTGACCTAAGCCCCTAAAGATATTAGGATATAACCGCAGGAACAGGGGACAAGACACAGTCACTTTCAGGTATTTCTTTTACACTCTGAATGGTTCTGTGACATCTATAGGGAAGATTAGAGACAGCATGTCTAGTTGAGGGTGGATATTCATTCACTGTACCCCATTTCATTTATAGTTATTTTAAATATAGCATGAGAACAAAGACCTGAAAAATGAATCACTTCCAGTACTGTAAAATTTGCTTTTCTAACATTTAAATGGCATTTTTATGTCACATGTTTATTTTACATGATTGTTTGTGCTTTTAACTCCCCCGTATCACCCCCACGTCTACACAATCAAACATGTGAACTTTTTTTTTCCTTTCACTTGCTCAGATCAACTGCCTGACTCCAAAGTGTCCAATCTGTAGTTGCCCCATGCACTGCTTTAAGAGGTTTGTTTTTTCCCTTGTTTATGTTCAACTCTATTAGTACAAACTGATGTAACTAAAAAAAAAAAAAGCTTCACAAAGCTTCATTTTAGAAAGTCCAAGACTTTTGCAGTTTGGGAGGCTTGATCTAAACTAGAATTAAGTATAAAAAGAGCCTCTTGTTCTCTAATTAGATTCACAAGTTATTTTTTTTAAAGTGTTCTCATCAAAATAGAGTTTTTAATGTTAGGGACGCAATATTTCCTGAAGGAGAAAAAAAAAAAAAGCTTGTGTTGTAGGATTAGTACAAATCAAGACTTTTCAAGACCCTTTGAGGTTGAAGCCAGCTAGTATTTTCAACTATTATGCCTGCCTTAATAAAGGCTTTTAATGTACTTTGGATCCTTACTCTGGCTCAGAGCCTGAATCGTTTTTTAATTTTTCCTAGCATTTAGCTTCAAAAGTACTAGAATTATTCATGGACTAATATTCATGGACGATATATATACATGTATAGAGGTACAGCTGACTGAACCCTTTCCCTCTGAATTCCTTTTTCTTTTCATCAGATATATTACTTTTGCTTTGATATCTCTCATCTGAGCCTGCATCCGCCATAACAGCACATGATTGACAGTCCCATGGACTCTTCTCCCTGACTAGATGAACACGCTACTTATTCCTCTGCCATCAGTTGTCTGATTTTCGGACCGTAAAAATATGGCACCTGTTCAGACAGCATCAAATTTCTGCCAAACTATTCCCTCAGATGAGTTTGTGAATACATCTGAGCCAAGAAATAGGTCATGCACTTGGAAAATTGGGCTTTGTTTTACATCTGTTAAACCGTGTTTAATTGTTTGTTGACAGGCACTTTCAAGTTGCAGCACAGTATGTCATCATCTAAACACTTCTTAGTGAAATCCGAACACACCTGATGTGCTCTGGAATTATGAGACTTAAATGTATCTGCTCCATAAGGAAAGTGACAATTCTGACTAGTTCTACGGTACTCTAGATGTTTGGACTTTCAACAATTAGTCAGTGTTTGACTGGTTTCAAATGCATTTTGAAACATGACAACCTAACGTACACAAGATTTTCCTGGCTCAAAGTGGGTCTTTGAGGGGTGAATGAGCAAATAAGGCAGTCTGCATGTAGTAAAGGCAAAGTATCTGTGTTAGCTTACTTAACTGAAATCTGTGTAAACTAAAACAATTTAGTTAATCCAGGCAACACTAATATATTCAAAAGA